GTTCTCATTTTTTATGGATAACTTGATACATGTGGAGTTCTGTTTGAATTTTATTTTATGATCTGTATGATTGTTATATATACAACATGTTCTGGTTAACTCAAATAGGCAAAGTAATTGGAAGTTGGCTTTCTTTTTTATTTTTAAATGAAATGTTGTGTTTTATGTGTAAGAATAGGTTCAGATTTTGGCATAAAAGTTCAGTTTCCTCTGAATTCATTGGCTAGTCCCTTTGCTTTCTGAGAAGCATATAAAAATAAACTTCTGAATGTGCTAGAGTACATGGTAAATGTAAATATTTGTTGGATAGTTAACTTCTTCATTTTAGGATTCCAGTACCTAGGAGCTCAGCATGTAGTTGGTACTCAATAAATTCTTGTGAATTTTGAGTCATCATTATTGTTTCAGTAAATATATATTGAACAAAGTGTTGAAAATCAGAGGCAGATCAGATCCAAAAAGGTTAAGATATAGTCCCTGGTCTTAACATACTTGTGGTCTGTTTGGGGGACACACCATAAAGATAAATAACCACATGCGGTGACTTGTGACCAAGACTGGGTGGTAGGTACATACTGCAGAGTTCAGAGTAAAACATGTGTGGCGGAAGGCTTGATGCGGTCATTGACAGTTTTGTCTTGAGAAAGGATCATAACTGAGTCATCAAAGGCCCTGAGCACCAGAGTTCAGAGGCAGTCTTTAATTAAGTGGAGAGCCATGATTGTTTTGTGGTGTTCAGAGTAGTGTGTTTTAAGGGGACCAATCTTATAATGGTGTTTGGGTGAATTGATGGTGGGGCAGAGGCTAAAGGCTTGGCGACCGTTCAGGACCTGCTCCCCTGTTGTGTGCTTTGGAGAAGTGAACCGAGCCATCGGGAGCGCTGGTGATGATCACAGTGTATGCACCTGGAGGTCCTGTCCTATCCAGGGCTCTGTGAGGGGCAGGGCAGACCTTTGCTACCCTCTCAAACAGTGTGCGTCTCACAGTTGTTCATTCTTCCCTCCCTCCTGCCTTCTCTGATATGTCCAATCCGTTCTTTGAATCAAATGACCAGCTTCTCTCTCCTTTCCCCTACCTCCTTCCCTGGAGTAACTCTAGGGTAATTCCTTCTTGGACCTAACTTCTGTAAGAACATAGGTGGAGAGTTAAACAGAGAAGCACTGAGTTATCCTCCCAAGAGAAATAAAGCCCAAAAGCATGTGTTCCTCCCTGGGAGGGTTCAGAGGTTTTAAAAAAATTCTTTGATGATCTAACCACAGTATCTGTTGTTCTGGTTTTGATTATTCCCGTGAAGGTAGATCTAGTGGAAATGAACTTGCAGGTTTGTTAGTAGCAACTGGAGACTTCATTTTGTTTAGCTGAGGGGAAGAATTTGAAATTGGAAGGGCAGTGGTGAAGTAGAAAAAGAGGAAGTGGTTTGGTGGGGTCAAGAGGTGGGCAGCAAGGGACAAAGGGAAGTTAAAAACTACCTGAAGGACAGGCTGGAGAGGAAGCCTGAGGTAGCCCATGGGTTGAGGGAAGTGTATTTGTTTGCTGTGCCCTTGATCACATGGCCATCTGGGCCTACTTCCAGCTTCCTATCCTCTTTTCCAGTTAGCATGTAACACCCCCAAAGGTCTCTTTAAGCGAAGTGAACTTAAATTTTCTCCCTCTATTCCACATTCCAGTGTCTACTTCCTTACTTTTCACTTATTTCTCAACTCTTTTAAGTTTTTAAAATCTTTCATCTTTTCATCTGGCAGCTTGATTGAGATTAATTCACACACTGTACTTATTTAAAGAGTACAATTCAGTGGTTTGGGGGATGATCACAAGATTGGATCACCATCACCACGGTCAGGAATGCCATTCTCTTTTCTGTAGAGGAAGCATTGTTTTACCATTCCACTGGCAGTATGTGAGGGTACTAATTTTTCTACATCATTCTCAACATTTATTATTATCTGACTTTAGTCATCTTAGTGGGTGTGATGTATTACCTCATTGTGATTTTTGATTGCATTTGTCTAATGACGAATAGTGTTGCACATGTTTTTTTGTGCTGTTTGTATTATCTTTGGAGAAGTGTCTGTTTAGCTCCTTTCCTTGTTTTTAAATTGGGTTGTTCATCTTTTTATTATTGAGTAACACGTTTACTTTTTAAAAATTCTGGATATAAGCTCCTGATAAGATAATGGATTTGAAGACATTTCCTTACATTCTGTGGAGTTGTCTTTTCATTGTCTTCATATTTTCAAACTTAAAAATTTTTATGAAGTCCAAGTTATCTGCTTTTTTCTTTCATTGTGTGCTTTTGGTGTCATGTCTAACAAGACTTTGCATAATCCAGGGTCATTAAGACTTACTCTTTTTTTTTTTTGAAAAGTTTAAAAGTTTTAGCTCGTATATTAGGTCTGTGATCCTTTTTGATAATTTTTGTATATGATATAAGCTAAGGGTCTAATTTTATTCTTTGGATATCTGGTTGTTAGCACCATTTGTTGAAGGCTGTCTTTTTTTGGTGTCCTTGTTGAAAAACAGTTGACTTTAAATGAGTTTATTTCCAGAGTTTATTTCTGGATTTTCAGTTCTAATTCATTGATCTATTTGTCTATCCATGTGTTAGAACCACACTGTCTTTATTACTGTAGTTTTATAGTAGATTTTGAAATTACAAAGTATGAAATTTCCAAGTTCATTCTTTTTCAAGATTGTTTTGTCCATTCTGGGTTCTTTGTATTTCCTTAAAAGGTTAAGGATCATCTTGTCATTTTCCGTGAAAATGGCAGCTGGGATTTGATAGAGGTTGTGTTGAATTTGTATATCAATTTTAAGAGTATTACTATATTAACAGCATTGTGATCTGATCCATGAATACAGAATGTTTTCCCTTATTAAGTCTTTGATTCCTTTCAGATTTTGTTCTGTAATTTTCAGAAGATAAATTTTACACTTGTTTTGTTAAACTTATTTCTAAGTATTTTGTTGTTTGTTATAAATGAAATTGTTTTCTTAATTTCATTTCATTATTGTTCAGCTCACTAAAGTATGGGCTCTGCTCTGACCATTACACCAGTATTTCTCTACTGTGGTAACCATTGGCCTCCTCTCCTGGTCTTCTTTCTGGCTTCTCAATCTGACTAACCTATTTTTTATAGCTAGTGTGCTAAACGTCATTGCAGCGTAATTGGATCCACTTTTTCATTTTCTAATAAATACTCACATAATGCTTTTCTGCTATTCGTGATTTTAGGCATTTTGACAAAGGGCTTTGTATGCATTGTGTGGCTGTTTTTTGAATCTAATATCTGAGGTTCACAGTGTGGATAGAGCCATTGAGCAGGGACACAGTGCTTCTTGGATGACTACTGTTTGTAAACATTTAGTAGTTCATTACCTGCAGGCTGAGCTCAAATTGTATTTCACAAACATTCGTCTTTTCTTCCTAATATTAGGTGCATGTGACTGTTTTACTTTTTTGGTTATTGTCAGCTTTTATTTTTTTTTTGCTGGACATTTGCAGGATAGCATAATTCATAATCAGTGATTACTGTGTAACTATCATTTTGCCTTCCTTAAAATTTCATAGTGAAAGGGAAGTATTTGAGTGATTCATTCTTTTTTAGTTTCTTTGAATGTAACAGTTTTTTTTAAAACAAATAATAAATCTCTCCATATTTCTTCTTTTTTAATCCAGTCTTGTTTCCCATGTATCTAGTTTGTGTGTTAATACCAGAGATACTTCAGTTTGAAAGAACCATAATTTATTTTATCTTATTTTTTAAATGGTTTAGAGTTTTTGATTTGGGGTTTTTTTTTTCAAGTTAATTTTGGATTTAATGAAAAATTGCAAATATAATACAGAGTGTTCATACACCTTTCATCCAGAATCTTCTTTTATCTTATGTAACTATAAATTCTATGCTCTCGACATTTATTGCAGCCAAGAAATTAATGTTGGTGCAATGCTATTAACTAAAATATAGAACTGTTTTGGATTTCAACAGTTTTCTTGCTAATGTCCTTTTTCTGTTCTAGCATCCAGTCCAGGATCCTCTACTGCATTCAGTTATTATGTCTCCATGGTTTTCTCCAGTCTTTTGACAGTTCCTTAGTCTTGTCTTGTCTTTGATGATCATAACACTTGTTATTTTGTAGACTTTCCCTTAACCTGGGTTTTTGTCTGACGTTTTCTTATGCATAGATTGAGGTTATACGTTATTAGAAAGGGTACAGAAGAGATGATCAGCCTTCTCAGACCATAATATGGGAATGTATTACTCATAATAACCCTGATCACTTGGTTAAAGTGTGGTCTACCTGGAGTCTCCACTGAAACGTACTGTTTTTCCTTTTGTAATGACTAAATATTTAGGGGATACTTTGAGACTATATTCTGTTTCTGCTTAAATGTTTACTCCCATTCATTAGCAGGTCTTGCTTCTTGCCTGTGGCAGTTATTACCATGGTGTTTTAATCGTGATTTTCTGTTTTTCTCATTCCATCTACATTTATTAATTGGAATTCTTCTGTGAGGAAGAATGCTACCACTTTTCCATTAAGAAAAAAATACATATTATAAGTATGTATATGTTTATGAATACATATTTTATTCTGAGGGTTATAAGCCAGTATTATAGCTATTTATTTCATTGCTCAAGTTACCCTGACATTTTCTGCTTAAATTTTGAATAAATATGTTTGTTAAGATGCCAACCTACTGAAACCTAAGATACTTGGAGACTGTTGTCTTTTATTTAACCACTAGTAGAATGAAGAACAGCCTAATTAAGACTTTCCTCCAATCTTGATTCATAATTTGTTGCTTATTTCATGTCTTCCTCTGTTGGGATTAGACTAGTGAATCTCCCAAATTCAACATTCTCAAAATTGAATAGTACAAAATACGAAGTGCATTGCTTAGGAAGTGAGTTTAGATTTTTTAATACAATTAAAAAATTCCTCATGTTGAAAGCATGTTATTGTTATAATTTACTTCATGTTATTCATGTTCTTTTTAGGAAAAGAAGAAATATGAAACCCTTCAGAGGGAAGAGTCTGATGAAGTCTCCCTTCCAAAAACCTCCAGAGAGCTGGAAATCCTTACTCCAGCTTGTGAATTCCAAGGAGATGCTCTGAAGGAGATAACTGATTCCCAGCTCCAGAATGATTCTAGTGGACAAAATGAGAGTGAAATGTTTGATATTCCACTCACCTCCTTAACTCTGAGCAATGGAGAGCCTCTGACATGTAATACAGAGAGTCTAAGGGAGGGGCAGGAGACCAGAGCCTGTGCTGGGGACGATGCTGTCAAGCCGAAGGTTGATCCTGAAGGCAGTGTTCGAACCACAGTAGAAACCCCCAAGAACTTCACTGAAATGGAGAAAGATACATTGGTACAATGTAGAACTTCGGAAAGCAGACAGCAATCTAACATTTCTTATATTCAGCAGGAAGTGGAAAATTTGCAGGTCAGAGAAACTCAGAATAGGAAAGAAGACAAAGCCTTGGGTCTTTCTTCAGAGGTGCTACAGAATGTTGGCTTGCAGAGTTCTTATGAAGCCAAAGACATTTTTCAGCCACCTAGAGTGAAAAAACTGTATCCCCAGTTGCCAACTGAAATTGCGGGGGATGTACCAGCTTTGGTGACAGTGAAATCCTTGCTTCGTAATGAGCGACTCTACCCGGAACTCCCATCTCAACCAGAAGTAGTACCATTTACTAAAGAACAGCTAAAGATCTTCGAGCCTGGTTCGTGGCTGGAAAATGTCGAGGCATATTTAGAAGAATTTGACAGCATGGCTCATCAGGACAGGCATGAATTTTATGAGTTACTTTTGAACTACTCACGCTGTAGGAAACAGCTGCTGCTGGCTGAAGCTGAGCTCCTTGCGCTGACATCTGATTGCCAAAATGCTAAAAGTCGACTGTGGCACTTCAAGGAGGAACAGTTATCTGTCCAGGTATGTTGACTGGTGTTCTGTAAAGTTTGCACGAGCCTGGGGTATTTGCAGTGGAACTCCTTTTCCTGTGATGTGATCAAGGTCTGGAATCTGCTCCTTGTACTCACACCGACCTTGTACTCACTCTTGACAAATTTGGTGGTGAAGGGAAGCTGGAGGAGATATCAGGAAGAAATGTGTGATTTCCCCTATCCCTAATCTTTCCTTAGGAGACCTTTGTATCTCTCTGTAGGTAGGAAGGAGCATGTGGAGAGGGAGACTTTTGAGAATACTGAGAAAGGGGTTAAAATAAAGAACACAGCTGTAGGGTTAATGTTGGAAAGGAGAGAGGTTTCTTTCTTTTGAGCAGAATCACAAAGAATGATGAGGGAACGTTCAGAGATGTTTTGACGTCTCTTGAAGTTGAGGGGATATCACCTTGACCTCACTGTTTATAAAGTAGAAGGTAAGATCATCGATCATGAAGGTCTTAGAGACGAGCTCTTCTGTTTTCTTGCATCTTTCCCCATCTACTTCATCTTAGGGTTTCTCTTCTTGTCTCTGAACTTGTGATGCCTTTGTGATTGGCATTACACTCCTTGGCACCTGGTTATGTATTAGTTTTATAGTTTTCTGTGTGGTAGTATTGTTCCCTTACTGTGATTTGTAAGTTCTTTGAAGATGTACTGAAGCCTGTGTATCATATACCAATTGCCTGGTTACATCGAGAGCGAAGGTAACTGGCCTTGTAACTTACATCTTATCCTTTTGTCCACTGCTAGGGTATCTGTGCAGATCAAGTGAAAGTTTCAGGCCATCATCGCTACCAGAGAGTGGAGATGAATGAAAATGCACTGGCCGAGCTAAAAAAACTGTTTGATGCCAAATCTGAGCACCTCCACCAGACCCTGGCTCTGCATTCTTACACTTCTGTGCTCTCACGCTTGCAAGTGGAGTCTTACATCTACGCATTACTCAATAGTTCGGCTGTTCTGAGGTCTTTAGCAATTCATCAGGAAGGCCAAGGTGTGTAAGTAATGAAAGCCTCACTCTTTCTTGTGGTCTAAAATGAAAAAAGAATTTAGGAATACAGTCTGGTCGAATTGATTGTGTGCTGATTTGATATTTGTAAGGGACCACCATTTGTGCTTGCTGTCTTACTTGACGTCTCCCAGTACAGGTTAGGATTGACACCTACCTTAATAACATTTCTTATAAGCAGTGCTAGGTCTCCCTTCCCCGTGAACTGTCTCTCTGCTTCTCTAGGAAGCCAGAAGTTTGCTTTTTATCATTAATGACTCTCACTGTCCTAATTTATGTGCTTATTACCAATTCAAGTCCAAATACAGTTTCTGATTCTAAAAACCTAGAACCCTTTTTCATTCTCTTGTCTATTGCACTTTATTTTTGCTTGTCCATTTTGTTGGATTGTTTAATTTTCACCAGAATGTTTATAATGTTTTGTGTTTTTAATCTTATTTTGGGTTTTAAGAGATTAGCCTTTACTATATAATGCATAAAAGTGTTAATTATGCAATTTTTATTTCTTGGAGAGATATTTGAATCCTTTAGATAACAAATCCTTCCCCTTGTGGTTTTCATAACTAATCAAAGAGCTGGGGATGGCAGAGATCTGCTGATGTTTAAATAAAAAATAAATTTTGATGAAGTTAATTTTTTCTTGCTCTGAAGTACTTCACAAAGTTAAATACTTTTTCGGTTTCTGTAGTAGAAATTCGTATTTTGACGTAGCTTTCCTCCTTGGATTTTCATCTGAATTAAATATTTTGAATAGTTTATTCTCGTTGTTGTTTTTTAAGAAGAGAAACTAAAAATTCTCCCCGATACCATTTATAAGGGATTCATTTAATCCTGTTTTTAACTTACAGCTTCTAAACAGGTAGAGAGCATTCCCTCTGACCTGTGTCAGCTGAAGGAGTGTATTAGTGTCTTGTTCATGTTCACCAGGAGAGTTAATGAAGATACTCAGTTCCATGCTGATGTTCTTCTCTGGCTGCAGAAGTTGGTAAGGGAATAGAGATGGTAGTCTTTCTGTTATTTCCCTGATAATTTAAGAATTATCTCTTATGCCCTCATAGTTTTTTCTTCAACAGCTTATTCAGCTAATTCGTTTAATGTGTTAGTGACTTTTTTTTTCGCTCATGACACACAGAAATAAATTATCCTTATCTAGTGTCTTATTAAGCACATAGTGCTTTTCTCTCTGATAAACTTTATGTTCAGTGATCTCTGGTCTTCAGTTTTGGAGGAAATGGAAATGTGGGAAGTATGCTAAATTTAAGACTAGATGTGTATTCAGAGTATAGGTATGTTCATATTAGTTTTGTTTAATCATATGTTAATGCTATACTTAAAATTATTTTTTTTAAGGGAAAAGAATCAGGTTTTGGGAAATTTAAGAAAGCTATTAGGTGTGTTATGCGATGAGGGGTTGTTTCTTGATTATGTTTCTCAATGGGGCTCCCTTGGGTGCTTCTTTTAGGTTCATACTAGAGTTCTTAGATATGGGCTTAGATTCTAAGCATGCTTACTTGGATTTGAGAAACTTACAAACTGGAACTAGATTAAACTAATTGACTTATATCTATTCATATATGGCCAGGAACATTAGTGTTTTGTAATTTGCCAGATACTGAAAATTGGGTTTGCAGAGAAACTGCTTATGATATGTTTATCATAGTGCTCATAGATTCTTAGTCCTCTGTGTACCTCTGTGTAGAAACTCAACCAGTCAATGGTATATCTTATGTCTGGTTACCCTTTTGAAAGATCACATGTATTTAAATATCAGATAAGTGATTGCACTAGGCCCCTAGAAACAGTTGTCTTTATAAACAGTAAAACTGTACATCTTTTGTTGTTCAGGTATCAGTGTTACAAAGAGTGGGCTGTCCTGGAGATCACCTCTTCCTTCTAAACCATATTCTTCGATGCCCAGCTGGTGTTAGTAAATGGGCTGTTCCTTTCATCCAGGTATGATGAATGACTTTCTGATTTTGAGGAGAATGGGGGAGATTTTGTTAAACATTGTTCCTGAAGAAGTTGCTTTCAGAAATAAGCCTACTTAAAATATATTGATATTTAAAATAAAATTATTAGGATATATCCAGCCTATATTCATAGGAGTTCTTATGCTACAACTTCTTCTTGGGCCACTGAAAATTGATGAAGTTAAGGTAAAGATGCAGAAGTTCAGTTGTAGTGTGGCTTGGTAGTTTCAGTAGTATTTAATCCTGTAAAATTTCTGTGCAGGAATGCTTGCTAGGACTTTTTTCTATAATGTTCAACATGACTTCCTAAATTAATCCATCCTGCACTGCAGTTGGTGCAGGTAAAAAAGAAACCACCAGCATCTCAGAGTTCCTTAACACTAGCAGAGGTTTCACGTCTGCATCATGATTTAGGCATTGATCGTATGGTTTATGGTTTCTTCTCTCTGCTGCTTGCCTTTGGGTTGTGTTGTTACTCATTGCAGCCCCTTCAGATGGGTGGGTAGGAGCCAAATATGTGGCAGGTTCCTTCTCCATGGTATCTTTTCTGTAGTATTTCTGATGATAAGAAATTTGGATTGTTTAAGGTAGAAGGAAGTTTTTTAAAAAAAATCTCATTTTTGGATTAAAATAGCAGTATAATCCTCCTTCCCGTGTGATATCAGGTAATTGATGTAAGTGCCTGAGCTGCCTCGTTCTGTGAGTGCACAGAGCCCAGTCAGCACTGCCAGGTAGCCCCTGAGGTGGTCTTGCTCTTTTGGATGAGGAGCCAGTTCCATCTCTGCTTGCTTAACAGCTCCCTTGTCAGAATGCTGGTGAACTAAGACTATGGCTACTTGGGTTGTTGGTTTTCTTCAGTATGCCTTTTCCTTTTCTGGTTTCAGATCAAAGTGTTGAATAACCCATCAGGAGTCTTTCATTTTATGCAGTCCCTTGCCCTGCTAATGTCTCCTGTCAAGTAAGTGTGGAAGAGCTTCGTAAAGTAGAAATTAAAATGTTCTGTCAAACAATTGGCTTCCTAAACTGCCCAGATCCACGCAATTGCTAAGGGAAGAGTCGGCATTCCAGAATTTAACAGTTCAGCTTTTCTTGGGGTTTAATACCCTTTGTCCTAAAGTGACCCTCTTAACTACTTTTTGTCTTTTTTAGAAAATGATTAACTTTTTTGGGTGCCCACTCTCAATGGATCTGCCATTCTGGCCATATATGTCATTGTGGTACTGTGGGGAGAAGAAAAGTTTCTTTCCTTCAAAGGAGAGATTTAATGGCAGAGGTAAAAAAGCACAGTCAAAGAGATTCAAGTGCTAAATTGTATGGAGCTATGATCAATGCCGGAGAAGGCAATGGCGCCCCACTCCAGTACTCTTGCCTGGAAAATCCCATGGACGGAGGGGCCTGGGAGGCTGCAGTCCATGGGATCGCTAAGAGTTGGACACAACTGAGCGGCTTCACTTTGACTTTTCATTTTCATGCATTGGAGAAGGAAATGGCCACCCACTCCAGTGTTCTTTTCTGGAGAATACCAGGGATGGGGGAGACTGGTGGGCTTCTGTCTATGGAGTCTCACAGAGTTGGACACGACTGAAGCGACTTAGCAGCAGCAGCAGCATGATCAATGCTTCCCAGGTGACACCAGTGGTAAAGAACTCACCTGCCAATGCAGGAGATGCAAGAGACACAAGTTTGATCCCTGGCTTGGGAAGATCCCCTGGAGAAGGAGATGGCAACCCACTCCAGTATTCTTGTCTGGAGGATCCTATAGATAGAGTAGCCTGGTGGGCTACAGTCCATGGGGTCGCAAAAGACCTGACTCAGCTGCACACACACACAGTTGATGCAGTAGAAATGAGTAAAGAGTAGAGTGAAGTAGTCAGTGGGTTCCAGGTGAATGAGCTGGATTTGAAGAATGGAACTGATTTCATCGGGAGAGGAGTAGGGAGGCCACTGTAGGGGGAGAAGTGAGCAGTGGCCCAGAGTACAGGGGGGCATGGCTGTGCAGGGGCACGTCGGAGGTCAGCTGGGCTGGAGTGAAGGGGCATGTGGGAGATGCTAATAACGACGGACAACTAGAGGGGAGTCAGATTATAGAAGACCCAGAAATTAAGAGAGTTTTGAGATGGTCTGGCTTTTGTAGCAATTGAGGGTTTTTAACATGGGTAAAAGTTGTGTTTAAGGAAGATTAGGGTGGACTGGAGGTAGAAGATATGCTTCTGCTTCACTGAGTCATGGTTGCAGAGGTCTGGCTCTCCTGGCTCTGGAGTCCAGTCCAGCATCTAGAGGGCACATCCTTACATGGGGAGAAGGCAGGCTATGTCCAGGGGACCTGGAACTGTGTTACTACCATGGACTCTTGGTCCAGGAAAGCCTGTCTTCCCCTGGACCTGAATTGAGGTGATGGCAGTGGGAAGGAGAAGGTGGGAAACTTGAAGGTCATCTTCCCAGGAGAGGATTAAGAAGCTGATGAAATAAAGAAAATGTGGGAAAGGCGTGGCTCAGACCTGTCTCTGTAGACTGTGACTCTGACTGACTGAGAGGGTGTTGGCAGCCCTCAGAGACTGAAAAGAAAGAGGAGAGCTGTCAGGGAAGGAGGAAGACTTGTGGTCTTTGGGGATTACGGGAGGACACATCTGAATGACAGCTACCAGTGGACATGTGGAGCTCGACGGCTGGAGCCCCTAGGGTTGGAAGCTGGAAGTCATGGAGGAGAGCTCCTGGTGGAAGGACGGAATGGATGAGTTTTCAGGGTCAAGCCAGAGAGGAAGGAACAGAGAGCTGAGAACCACGTTTCAGAGAAGACACTTGTCTGGTTACACCGACTTGTTAGGTCCAGCCAGCACCATGTGAAAGCCTGGCCGGCAGGAGTTCCCCTAGATTCCTGTCTCTCACCGCCTGGATACAGGGACTGTTCCTACATGTGTGTTTAGATGTGCTTTTCCCCCAGCCAGCTTCTGCATTACCTGCAGATTACCCTTTATTCAGTGACGCATGTTTCTGGAACACTTTGTGGGCCAGTTAGAACTCAGGTGCCATGCAGTCCTGGGTGTGCAGAGGCCCCACTGGAGGCGGGCGCTGTGCTGGCGTAGCCACTTCTCTTTACTGACCGGGGAGGGCCGTGGCCTCTGCATCACTGATAGTGAGGCTTTGGTCTCCTTGAGTTTTAGCCAGTTATTATTTCTTGTTTTCTGATTCAAACCACTTGGAGATTGGGTTGATGTCGACTCTTCCTCAGGGTGAGTAGACAATCTAGAATGCACGCGGTGGGCTCTCTGTGTTTATGTTTATGTGATTGGAGTGGTTTCCTTTGTCCTTTAGAAACCGAGCCGAGTTCCTGTGCCACATGAAGCCCAGTGAGTGGAATCCATCCTCGGGGCCTGCGTCCGGGACGTGGACTCTAGTAGACGAGGGGGGAGAAGAGGTAACAGTCATATCTGCAGCGTTTTGATGAATTATTTCTGAGTTCTCTCATGTGCCAAGTATCATTGTAAGCATCTCTCACGTATTAGCCCATTTAATTCTCCCAACAGCCCCACGAGGCAAGTACTGTTTTCATCCCATATTAGAGATGAGGTGCAGGATGGGGGTGAGGGAACTTGTCCCAAATCACAAGTCTCGAGCCTTCGTACTGAGCCAGTGTCTGGTGCCTCTCTTTTCCAGATCGTCCCTGTAAAGCTGGGAGTTTGGACCTGGAAGTGTTTACATACTACATACACTTCCTATTAGGATTTTCTTTTATGTAGCATCCATTTTCTGGGCTTGGGATCTCACCTACAGATACTCTGAGCCTTTCTAATAAAGAGCTGGATCTTACTAAGGTGGGCTGGTAAAGAATCTGCCTGCAATTTGGGAAACCTGGGTTTGATCCCTGGGTTGGGAAGATCCCCTGGAGAAGGGAAAGGCTACCCACTCCAGTATTCTGGCCTAGAGAATTCCATGGACTGTATAGTCCATGGGGGTCCCAAAGAGTCGCACACCACTGAGAAACTTTCACTTCTTAGGAAGGTTCTGCCTTAACACTTACAAACTTTTTTATGTAGATCTTCTCATTTGAAAGATAGAAGATAATTTCCTATTTTTAGTGAGAATTTATTATCAAAATCCAGTTTATCAAGGTAACATTTATTGATTTTTCTTTCTACTATTATACATGGCTCATGTATTGGTAAGCATTTTTTTCCCCTTCCAGCTAGTTATCTGCCTGCCCTAGTGTTTTTATGGTCCAAATCCAGATTTGACGTGCTTGTCCAGGATTGGCCAGGAACTAAACTTACTGAAACCTCTTCTCTTTAAAGGAGTTGAGAGTTTTCAGTGGACACTCCTTAGAATGACATGTGGCAGCTCTGGGATCATGTCTCTGTATTTACCCAGCTGTTCATTCAGAAGCAGGAGCCTTCTGACTCAATGTGCTTTTCCTGGGACTTGTAGGAGTTGGGAGATGGTGGTAAATGATGTGGAGTTGCAGAGACTGAACAGTCCTTCTGGAAAGAGCTTCTCGGGTACAAATTGGTCTTCTAAAGATTGTAATGGAGCAGATTTCCCCCCCGCCGTCCCCAATCCCCACCCCAAGACTGGTCTCTGCTGAGAGAGGTGTCTTTTTTTCTTATAGGTTTCCTGCATTTAATCCCAAAGATGGGTAATGGCTAAAGACTCTGGAATGGTGCCTTAGCTCTCACTGCATGTTGAGTGGATTCAAGAGCTTGGGGTGGGAACTCTGGCAGTGCTGTTGGCTCAGAAAAGGCCGAGGGTGGAAGGCACCATGCATCGCCCACATCAGTGATTTCTTGACACTGGCTGTTTATCAGGACCACCTGGGCAACCTTGCCCCAGTCTACACCCAGCTATCCAAATGTCTAAAGCCTCCATGGTGATTCTGATGTACAGCCAGAGCGGAGAACTACTGCTCTGGGTGGAATTTCTGAGGTTCTTATTCGCTAACTGTTTAGGATATGTAAGAGGGTAGGAATGAGTGGCTTCAGGAAATTATGAATAAATTGCATTAGTCCCTTGTTGAAATTGAGTTGATAATTCATCAGGCTCTCTGGGTCTTTTTACAGTATTCCTTTTTTTTTTAAATAAAAAATCTAAAAATTATTTACTTATTTTTGGCTGTGCTGGGTCTTTGTTGCTACACACAGGCTTTCTCAGTTACAGCAAATGCAGGCTGCTCTTCATTGCAGTGGCTTCTCTCGCTGCCGAGCACAAGCTCGAGGGCGCTTGGGCTTCAGTAGTTGTAGCGCACAGGCTCAGTAGTTGGGGTGAGCAGGCTTTAGAGCTTGGGCTCACTACTGTGGAGCATAGACTTAGTTGCCCTGTGGCACATGGAATCTCCCTGGACCAGAGATTGAACCCATGTCCTCTGCATTGGCAGGCAGATTCTTAACCACTGGACCGTCAGGGAAGCCCCAGTATTCCCTTTTGAATGTAGCATATCTTAGGTCACAAATCAGTTTGGTTTCTAAGGAGATTTTAGTGCTGTGTATCAAACAAAAAGGGCTTCCCTGGTGGCTCAGTAAAGAATCCACCTACAATGCAGGAGATGTGGGTTCGATTCCTGGGTTGGGAAGATACCCTGGAAAAGGAAATGGCAACCCATTCCATTATTCTTGCCTGGGAAGTCCCATGGACAGAGGAAACTGGTGGGCTACAGTCCTTGGGGTCTCTAAAAGAGTCATACTTGACTTAGCAATTAAACAACAACAGTTGAATAAAACCCCCCATTTTGTGTATGTGAGCTCTGTGTATGACCACTGTTATTTTTATCCTGTTTTCAATGGTACTGATTGATGGCAGAACTGATGTCCATAGCAGATGCTAATTGCTTCTTGACAAGTCAGTTGACTATTGCAGTAAACTTGTATTTCGGGGAAAGAAGAGGCTTTATAGATAAAATAACTTGGACTCGAGTGCATGGTTCTTTAATTGATATTGTCAAAGCACTGAGATTTACAGTAAGATCGCAATTCTAGAGGAATTCATCTTCTTTGGGATAGAAATCTAACGAGAGCAGTTTCAGCCACTGAAGAATGGATATGACTTGGTACATGTAAAATTGTACTTGCAGTGTTAGGGGATTTATAGGTCATCCGATAGAACTGATAGTATAAATCTCTGTCCTGGAGGAGAAGTCCATGAGGACTCATGAGAATACTGCTGTCTACCACTGAGACCTGTGATAATGCCGCTGCGTAACTCTGGACCGTGGTGTCATCTTGTCACATCAGCTGATAAGACTGCATCTTCTTCCTCAGGATGAAGACCCTGAGACCAGTTGGATTCTCCTTAATGAAGATGACTTGGTTATTCTTCTGTCACAGTTCCCATTTCATGAGCTGTTCCAACATCTTCTTGGGTTTAAAGCAAAAGGTAGACTAATTTCTTCTGTCATGTGTAAAATATGGTAGGGGCAAGCTCAAACACAGGAACTTAGCGTCAGGTCTTACGTCTTGGGTGGGCTCCTGATTTTGGGTTCCCCTGTGCCTGGCTGTACTATGCAGAGATGCTTGTGTCTCTGTGGTGAGGCTTCTTTCCCCTCTCTTGTGATTGTAGTTTCCTCCGTGGTGCTTAAATACAAAAGGTCGACTAGCTTGCACATCTCCCAGCTTTAATAAATGGTTTTGGTTTTGTACTTCATCTCAAGTTCCCCATTTCACATTGGTATAGGAGCCAGAGCACAGGATTCTCTATCTTGACTTTGTTTCTTCCTTAATATGTTGACATCCATATCTTTCAGTGTTTTTCCATTGTAATTACAATTTTTTTCCTTTTCTTTGATGAACTTTTAGGTGATTATTTACCCGAAACAACAAGACCTCAAGAGATGATGAAAATTTTTGCCTTTGCTAACTCCTTAGTGGAACTTCTGGCAGTGGGGCTAGAAACCTTCAATAGAGCACGCTATAGGCAGTTTGTTAAGCGAATTGGTTATATGATCAGGTAATACTGCTCTTGGTATATCTATTAACCCTGGTTAGTCACAGACAATGTATAATTGTGATGGTGAGCATTTTATTGGTACAGTTCATGTCTTATTTCTCATAAAAGTAAGAATTTTTTTCTTCACCATCTACTAGATGGGAATTTTAAATAAATACTTCCAGCCAGAATATTTGGTTAATTATCTCAAATTTAACTGGTTTGCTAGACAATTGTTCTTGCAGTCAGGATCTTCCAAGCAGTTGGGTTGACCTTGGTCAGAGAGAAGGGGTTGAAGAAAACACAGAATCTTTCTCCTCCTTTACTCTCTCTCTTCTGCTTCCTAACTTTTGCCTAATTGTCATGTAGCTGTGGAAAATTGGCAGTAGCTCTTTTGAACTATTAGTTCCCTGTATTCTCTCTTATTTGCTCTTATTCTGATTTCTAGAAAATACCAGAAAATTGCAAAGACATCATCAGTGGCTCCTGTGTTTGAATTGGGAAAGCATTATCATTCACTTGTGTGAAAGATAGATTTTTGTTTTTATTATCAAATAGGAGTAAATTCTGAGAAATGTACTGCTTTTCATTGAATTAACTTACATCCAAGAGGATTCTGTATCATCAGTCTATTTTTATGGTGCATATAAATACATAGTTATTTCATCCAACCTTCCTTACCTTGAAAGAAAACTTAAAAAACCAAAAAGTTTCCCCTCCTTGCGTACTTTTGTTTGTAAAGCATAATTGATTTTAATTATTTAAGATATATATGTCCATCATATTCATAAAGCCAGGTAATGATTTAGGATGCCTGGAATTCTTGAACTCTCCGCAGTCAGGCTTTTCCTCTCAGCACCACCCAAACAGCTCCGAAGAATGAAAGTTGCTAATGAACTTTGTGCTACTGACTAATCCAGTAGCCACCTCTCAGTCTTCATCTTGCTTTATCTCTCACACAGTTTATACAGCAGCCTTCATCACGGATGGTCATGTTTCCTTAAAGCATTTTCTTTGCTTGCCTTCCAGGATACCACGTTCTCCTGTTCCCTTCACTGGCTGTTCATTTTCTGCCTCCTTGGTTGTTTCATTCTTACCTCCTAGACTTCTTAATGTTGGAATGCCTCAGGGCTTCATCCCTGGACCCCTTTATCCAAACTTCTTGGGATTTCATCCATTCCCATGTCGTTGAGTATCATCTAAATATCGTTAACGTTGTGTGTTCTATTTCCATTTCGTACCTTTCTTTTAGCTTTTATTGAATATATCCAGCTGCCAACTCGGCAGCACTTGGATGACTTATGATCATTATAATTGAATATTCCCCAAATGGGCTCACTTTCCCCACCTCTCAAACTGCTGCTCTCACAGTCTTCTCAGTTTCAGTAAGTGCCAGTTTTTCTGGCCAAAGCGCTAGTGTCATCGTTGACTTTTCTTTTTTACAGCACATCCAATCTAATGGTCCGTTCTGTCATCTTTTCTGCCATCTTTCAGCAAACCTAAGATACATTTTGTGTACGGCTAAGAAAGAAAAAAATGCCACCAGATGATGATGTTCTCAATCTTGATGCACCTTCTAGTTGTAGAGATTAAAATGTGAAGGGTGTGCATCCTTTGAATTAGTGAAACATGCTGCTCTTCGAATCCAGCCTCTTCTCACCATGTTCACTGCTGCCACCACAGTTCATTTTTAGTTACGTCTCACCGATGATCACAGTAGCCACCTGACTTGTCTTCCTGCTCGTGCCCTCCCTCCCCCACACCCCCAGCTCATTCTTACAACAGCTACCAGCGTTTCTCATAAGTCGGGAGTCAGCTCACATCACTCCTCTGCTCAGACCCAGCTGCCCCCAGGCTCATTCAGAGTAACAGCGTACGCGCAGTGGCCTGCGGGACTCGTCACGACTGGCTCCTTGTCTTTGGTTTCCTCCCCAGCCGTTCTCTCTCGCACTTACTTTACGTTAGCACACTGGCTGCCTTGCTGCTCCGCCAGCACAATGAACGCACCTCAGAGCCTTCACTCTGGCTGCTGCTTCAGCCTGGGTGCTCTTCCCTTAGACAGCCCGAAACTGCATCCAGCCTTTACTCGTGGGTCCCTCTTCAGGGAGGCCCCTCCTCACCAACACACCCGTAAACCTTTATTCTTCTCTCCTACTGATTTTTCTCAGTGTCACTTACAATTGTGTGACAGACTGTGCATTTTGTTTATTGTCTGTGTGCCTTCCACTCAGTGTCAGCTCCATGAGGGGAACGTTTTTTCCCTCCGTTGCATCCCCTTTAGCACCTAGAAGATAGTACACAAAAAGACATGTTGACTAAAGTAATGTTTCAAATGTAATGTAAAGATGCCGGTGTTGAGTGCGTTCACACAAAGTGCCGCATTGTCTTTCTTCATGCTCAGGATGACCCTTGGTTATGTGAGTGACCACTGGGCCCAGTATGTGAGCCACAACCAAGGCTTGGGATTGGCCCTGCAGCCCTACTCCATGGAGAAGCTACAGGTTGAATTTGATGAGCTCTTTTTGAGAGCTGTCCTACACGTCCTGAAAGCCAAAAGGTAAGAAGTGTGATGATAACTGTCGAGAAATAGCTCCTTGGCTAGTGGGAAGATTGGAGTGAACGTCATTGACTGAAGTAGGGCTCTTATAATAACATCAGCGTTATTTCATCTGTTTTTTTATCTTGGGTTAATGTTTGGGATTTAGTTTCCTTGTCTGTAGTATTGCCTGAAATGATTCTGACTTTCAGGTTTCCTTCAGTCTTAAAAATAACCTGATTCTGATATCTCAGTTTTGCCATCCTGAACTTTTGGGATAACTTTGAGCAGGGGATGAATTGTATTTCACACCCAACTCTGGTGTCCCCAGTGGGGCAGAGTAGGCACTCAGTACATTGTTCAGGTTGCCTGACTGTGTGGATTTAAAGTCTAGGACTGTCTTGGGTCTGGGGTCCTCCTCTACCACCTTGACTGTGTTCTCATCTTGCCATTTTGTTGCTGCTGCTTACAGCCTACGGTATATTTTTGGCAGAGGTGGGGACACGACCACTCATCCTGCATTGTCTTCCCTGAGTTTCTGCCCAAGTGTGGGAATGGGTTCTGCTTCAGCACTCTGCCCCCCTCCCCTACCCCCCAGCTCCCCTCATGAACTGCTAGCTCCCCTTCTGAGCTGTTGGCACTCTTGCCATGGCCTCATAGTCTCAGCCCCTTATTTTTGTGTGTTGTGTGGTGGGTTTGAGTCCTGGTCTGCCAAGACTGTTACCTTAGGCAAATCACTTAATATCTGTGGTCTCACTTGGTGCATTTAATAAAGTGGAGATGATGATGATGATGATGATGATGATACAGCTTGTTCCATTGACCTCATGGATATGTTATGAGGATGAAATGCAGTAATATGTGGAAAGTAATATTTTTAAACCATAGAAGACTTTTCAAATGTAAGTGGTGGCTGTTTTTGTGTGGTTTCAAATGAAGAACAGAATAACCACTCACTTAGAGGAAGAAAGATTAGTATTCTTTGACTAAGTCTTAAAACTGCTGTTAGGCACTTAGAAGGCGTGGGTCTAAGATAAGGAGAACGTGGGCTGAGAGATTTGGTTAGATTATTCCTGTCCATACTTGGTGGTCTCCTGAGGCGTGCCAGGTCCCTGCTAGCGGTTCAGTGCAGGAGCACCTGCTCACTGAAGCCGGCCTCCCGCTGCTTGGGAAAAGTCTCCCAAGTCGGATCTCCTGTCGCCCGATCTTGTGTTTGTTTAGCTGAGAGGCAAAGCTTTTCTAGAAGAAAGACTGTAGATCCTTACTAGGTCTTATGCACTGAACTGTGAAACCTCCTGTAACATTGCATGTGTAATTCACACAGCTAATTGCTTTATATTTGAAAATGCTGAGAGCTGTTGTTCTTGAGTATAATTTATTTCAGAACACATCATATGAGAATCAGGTATTTAAAGCTATGAAATTTAAATTTATTTGACACTCCTGTGGAAATTTCTGATGGTAGCTATTCCCTCAACCTAAAAAAAAACAACAACACACTAACCCAAACTGGAAGACTACAAAAACCTAAACAAGACTTCCTGCATGTCTGTCTGCCCTATAGGAATTTTGTAGCTGGAAATATTTACTGTCTAATGACATTACTTTTAAGGCCTCATTGTTGGGTGTTCCTTTATGTAAGAACACCCAGTCCCATGTAAGGTGTTGGATAATTATTTAATAAGACAGAAGCCTGACCCACTTGAACTTAGAGAAGTCTAGCTGTTGCTTTTCAGAGTCAAGGTCAGTTGTAGTTTGGACTACTAGTGGCCTGGTGGGCCACAGACATGGGTTAAGTGCACACTATTTAATTTCTGTTTTTCTTAATAAACATTACTTATAATTGATTAAATTATAGTTTTGCCCTAAAACAACAGTTATGAGTGCCTCCCCATTTTTCTTTTTTAGATTTTTTGAGATAAAATTCATGTAACAGAATATTAATAAGCATTTATTGAGTATTGTTTTTGAGATACTAGTTTTGGTAGACTTGATTTCTGCTGTCAAATTGCTGTATGCTGGTATGTGTTCCTAAATTGGACATTTATATTTCTCACCGTGTAGTTTAAGGAACAATTGAGTCTTGAATTATCTGGGGTGACTGTAAAAAAAAAAAGTCCAAATTCTTGGGCCCCAGCTGTGACCTGCAAACACAGACTCTCTTAGGTGGATCTTGGGAGTCTGCATTTTCCATAAAGTCTCAGGTGATTTTTCTGCCCACAGTGGTGTGAGAAACACTGATAATGGGTATGATAATGCCATAGTCAGGTATGGTTAGAATTTCATAGTAGTGTTGAGGGGAAGACATTAGGGAAGGCTTCACAAATGGAGGGATGGCACTCTGTAGTTGGGGAGTGCTCTCTGGGCTTGTCCAGAAATTAGTTGATGTTTAGTTGCTAAGTTGTGTGACTCTCTTGTGACCCCATGGACCGTAGCTCACCAGGCCCCTCTGTCCATGGGATTTTCCAGGCAAGAATAATGGAGTGGGTTGCTGTCTCCTTCACCAGGGGATCTTCCCCATCCAGGGGTCAAACCTGGCTGTACTGTGCGTCTTCTGCATTGCAGGTGGATTCTTTACTACTGAGCCACCAGGAAAGCCCCTGTCCAAAAGTGGTCTGATGAGAGCAGAGACGGCTTGGCTGGGAGTATGGGTCTGAGCTGCTTTTGGAAGGCTTTGAATTTGGAGCTGAGGAGTTTGAACTTCATTCTGTTTTGAGTAAGGAGTTAGGGAGAGCTTCTGTTCCTCCCCACGCCTCCGCCAACTGCACATGTCTGGGTGTGCACACATGTACCTATGTGCATGCTCAGACACATACATCCAATCTCAGCAGTCTCTCTGTTGCCCAGATCTTAAAAGGACCTTTGGTTTAAAACCCAGTTCTGCCTCTAATTAGCTTTGTGTTCTAGTAGCCTGATGTGTAAATTGGGGATAATATCAGTAATAATGCTTGCCTTGGTTTTCATGAGAAGGAATGTGCTGATAAATAGATGATGTGGTGATTAGAACTGTGCTTGGCACAAGAGTAGGTGCTTTGTGTGTATTTGCCGTTAAACATTTCTCAAGACTGAAGCATGTAGTGTGATTCAAAAATTTAAGAATTTTTTTTGCCTCCTTTCTCAGTATGGTGAAGTTGACTGATACGTGAAATTATTCCTGCTCTTTTCAATACATGCAGACTTGGCATTTGGCTGTTTATGTCAGAAATGCCCTTCGGGACACTATCTGTGCAGATGCTCTGGAAGCTCTTCTACCTCATGCATCAGGTGGAGAGCGGGAATCTGGACAAGCTCAGTACTGCCCTCCTGCCTGCCGAGTGCAAGAAGCACCTCCAAGGTACAGCCATGCCAGCATCGCCTCTCTGTCTCATGCGCCTCCTCTCTTCATGGCTTTATTCTTTCCGCTTTTAGGAGGAGGAAGAGATGTTTTACTCTCTGTGCTCATGTGTCATCATTTTGAAATTTAAGAGACTGCTTTGTTGTTTTGACTTATTAGAATGATGATTCCAATTTTCATTATTCTTCAAATGCTCTGAAGAGTAAATTCTATTATGAACCCAATTTGGGGATAGGAAATGAAAATTGTGAGTTGTTAATACCCTATGGAGCTATTTTGAAAATACTGGAAATTTGATGAACTATGGTTTCTCAAGTGTGTAAACATATGAAAGGAATTATTGGCTTGTTGCTTTCTTACTGTGAAAAGTTCCACAGGGAGTGTATTTTTCTTCCCTCTTCAGAGTTTTGCCTTTGAAACCTTTACTTTGCTGTCAAATGTGGCAATACTGTTTATCAAGACTGCCCTCTAGTGACAAAATGTAATATTGCTTACAGAGCATTCTCTGAGGAATAGGCAAAAATATAGATATTGTTAATCCTATTCATCAGTATTTCGGCCATGATAATAGCTAATTTCTTGCCCCAGATTTACATATATAAGCAAATGTCTTTTGTGTGAAATGCCATGTTGGTACTGAGTAGTCTGCTAGTCTTATCAGTTTTCATTAATAGAGTTGTCCTTCATTTGGCTGATAATTACCAGGTAGCTTCAGGTGCACTACTGAGGCTGTCTTGCTCAGTGACAGTGGCAGGGCTTTGCAGTTGATGAAACTCTTGACCAGTCACGTAGCATCTGATCTTAAATAACCTTTAGAGACAGATTAGGAAACAGACCTCTTAAATGTTGCCTAAGCTAACATTATATTTAGAATTGGAATTTTAGCTGGTCCAGCCTTCTTCCTAATGCCTGTAGAAATCCATTCTGGAACAAAGATGTTTTCCATCTTTAAATATTTCTTAATATCTTTTAGTTTTATATCTTATTTATCTCTGAAAGAGTAACTAAAGTGACATATGTTTATTCTCTCCCCATTTTAATATTCTTGGACTTGCAGACCCTGAACATTTTGTGAACTTTGAGAAGTGTCTTTCTTCCATGAATAGCTCGGAAGAGATTTGCCTTCTAACTACTTTTGCTCAGATGGCTCAGGCCAGAAGAACCAACGTGGATGAAGACTTCATAAAAATTATTGTTCTGGAGATATATGAGGTTAGAATATTAGGTTTTAGAAATAAGCTAAAAACATTTTCTTTTGGTTTGCCCATCCATTGATTCTTTTGGGATCGCTTTAAAAACATGTGACAGCCTCATTTGTCTGCACTTGTGGAAGAAGATGGTCTGTAAGTAGTATTGAAAACACGAATCATATCCATTCATTCCATTTCTCCATGCTGTCTCTTTTCATTTGATGTGTGAGTTTTGGTAAAGATTAGACAGTCTGGCACAGCCTGACATTTGTAGTTTTTATACTTTCTGTCCCTCTGCCCCGCTTTCCTCATTTCCACTCCTCTGACCCTGCCAGGAGCATGGAAACCTGACTTCCCAGCCTACTTAGACAAGATGGTGAAAATAATAGTGAACCTAGAGTTCACTCTGGCTTTGTTTTAATTCTGCTCATCGCTGCCCATCTCACATCAGAGAAGATACCTTACCGCTCTGGCCTTCAGTTTCTTTATCTGTGAAATGACAGGATGGAATGAGATCCTTGCTTTCTTTGCTTTTTTACCCAGCCACCCTTAATGGTGGAAGAGAATGAACTTTAGACCCATTGTGTTGAGGGATATAACTCAAGTGGTTACCAAAATATTATTTGGAGTTTTGTGTGTGTGTGTGTGTACATATATGTGTGTGTATAAATATATATATATATATATATATATATAATGTACACTTTCACTGTAGGCTGTCATTTATCTGTTTGCCTTCATAAAAAATTTATTCCAATATAAGTAAAAATTATGTCTGGAGATTTATTGTCATCCCCCTCAACACTCCAGTTTGAGAATGACAGACTGGGTAATCTAAAGTTCTTTTCTGGAATCAAATATCCTAATAGGCTATTCCTATTCTTGTACTTTGTAAGTAACCCTGCATGTGATTAAGGCCTAAGTGGATCTGAAATTCCAGACTATCTTCATAATCTGTAAAAACTGAGGGGAGAATGTATATTTTCATGTATATTATATGGCATTCTCAAGATAATATTACTAAAGTATTTATGCTCTTGAATGATGGTTCAAATGTCCTGACGAGTTCTCACAGTAAAAACTACATTCTGATCCTGTGTGTGTTGCGTATGTATGTACACATGTATGAAATTGAGTCAGTAGTTATGCACTGTCACATTTTCCTGTTGTATTTTATTCTTTCTTATTTTTCTGTTCTGTTCAACTGTATTTTAAAAAAAAACAAAAAACAACACCCAAACTGCTGGCCATTGGCATGAATGGCTTGTGTCTTGTAGTTTTGAACCCATTGTTTAAGAAGAGTTGGTAAATATTGATTATTATTATTATTATTATTTTTTGGCTGTGCTGCATGGCATGCAGGGTCTTAGTTCCCAGGGATCAACCTGCACTCCCTGCAATAGAAGCACAGAGTTGTAACCACTGGACTGCCAGGGAAGTCTAACCATGGATGCTTTAAAAGCTCTTATGATAGAGGATCTCTCTCTCTCTTTTTCTTTTTGGAGAGAATAGATATATCCAGGAAATGCATTCTGATTTTCATAATTTTATTGGTTTCCTCAAATTTAGAGAAGTTTTACTATGAGGGGACTGTTTAATTGCTCTGAGGACATTGGTGTTTCTTTCTGAATCCAGCACTGGAAGTCACTGTACACGGTTGTCTTTCTTCTCCAGTCCCTCCTGCCACCTCCAGACCCAGGGTAGACACTCTGCTCTCTGAACTTTTGAAATCCTTTTGATCATGGTGTGAACCAAGCCTCAACCTGAGAACCTGAGATTCTTTCTGATACTTTACTTGAAAACATTCTAAATAAAGTATGAAAAAGGTTTTTTGTTGTTGTTGTTTTTTTTTTTAACTGATGCTTGATTTTTAAAATGCCATCTCTCCACGTTCCCACTTTTAGGTTTCTTATGTCACCCTGTCCACGCGAGAAACTTTTTCAAAGGTTGGTCGAGAGCTTTTAGGGGCCATCACAGTTGTTCACCCTGAGATAATTTCTGTGCTTCTGAATAGAGTTCAAGACACCATTGACCAGGTTGGAATGGTAAGAGCACTGATGTTGTTTGTTTCCCCTTTTGTTGTTGTTTATTTTGAACCCTGGAGTATTGGAGCAGCGGGAAAAATAGTTACTGGGATACAAAAATAGTTGTTGGGATGGCTGAGTCATGGGTACAACAGAGTAAAGAGAGCATTGACTGAGTCACAGGCTCTGTGCCTGCTTGGGCATAGCTGCTGCTTACAAAAAACTGGATTGTTTCTCTTAATCTCTGCAAAGTGACTTCCCACCTTCTCCAGTAAGAAGTTTTTATTTATTCTTTTCTTTTTAAATTTATTTCTGGCTGCACTGGGTCCTTGTTGCTATGCTCGGGCTTTCTCTGGTTGTGGTGCGCGGGGGCTGCTCTCTAGCTGGGGTCCGTGGGCTTCTTGTTGGGGAGCACAGGCTGTAGGTGTGCCAGCTTCAGTGGGCGCGGCTTACAGGCTCTGGAGTGCTGGCTCAGTGGTTGGGGCACACGGGCTTCGTTGCCCTGTGGCATGTGTAATCTTCCTGGACCAGGGGTCAAACCCATGTCACCTGCATTGGCAGACGGATTCTTAACCACTGGACCCCTAGGGAAATCCACAGGTTTTTATTTTAATTAGAGCCTAACGATAACCCATAGTTTTTATTTGATAATTTTGCTTTACCTTCATAATTCTTACATTTTTTCTTGGTAGAAACAACTCTAGAAGACCTGCTTTAAACCAATCAAAAACAAAATTAAAAGTAATAGTTAAAATTGAGCAAGATGTGTATCATTTAATTCTGTCATTTGTCACAATCCCTTTTGTAATCTTCATGTAGTTTTTAAAAACAGTTTTATTGCAGTGCAATTCACATGTAATATAATTCATCTATTTAAAGTGTACAAGTTGGTGGTTCTTAGTATATTCGCAGATATGTGTACATATCACCAGTCAATTTTAGAGCCGTTTTCATCACCTGAGAACAAAACCACACACCACTTAGCTGTCAGACTTCCATCCCGTTCGCCCTGAGTGGCCACAACCTATTTTTCTGTTTCTGTGTTTTTGTTGTTTAGTCACTAAGTCGTGTCTGACCTGTAGATCTAGTGGACTACAGCCCACTAGGCTTCTCTGTCCCTGGGATTTCCCAGGTGAGAATACTAGAGTAGGCTGCCATTTTCTTCTCCAGGGATCTTCCTGAGCCAGGGATCAAACCCATATCTCCTGCATTGGCAGGTGGATTCTTTACCACTGAGCCACTTGGGAAACCTGTCTGTAGATTTACCTATTCTGGACATTATAATAGAATTACAAAATATCTGATCATTTGTGACTGGCTTCTTTCACTTGGCATAATGTTTTCCATGCCCATCCATGTTGTAGTATATGTCAGTAGTTCATCCCTTTTTATGGCCAAGTAGTGTTCTATTGTTTGAGAGTATCATTTTCGAAAATATATACTTATTGAAGCTTTTCTTCATCAAGTATAATAAGGCTGTAATGAGTGAATTTCTCTAATGGCAGGTAGTGTGTGTGGTAACTTCAGGAGGAATGTTTAAAGTTATAGTGTTTTTCTCTGGGCTTATATTTGCATAGGGCCTTTACCTTATAGTCATTGCATCATTCCTGCAGGATAGATGATGGATAACTATTGTACTTCATCACAGTCATGAGTGAGCAAATTCAATGATAGATTGGTTTATGAGACTTTTTTCCCCCTAACTGAAGAATAAAGGCTATATCATTCTTTACTTGGAAACGTATATGTTAGTTTTTTTTACATAAAGAGAAATTTAATTGTGGTAAATTATACACAGCTTCCCTGGTGGCTCAGCAATAAAGAATCCCCCTACAATGCAGGAGATGCGGGTTTGATCCCTGGGACGAGAAGGTCCCCTAGAGAAGGAAATGGCAACCCCTTCCAGTATTCTTGCCTGGGAAATCCCATGGACAGAGGAACCTGGTGGGCTACAGTCCATGGGGTCACACAGAGTCGGACACTACTTGGCGACTAAGCCACCACCCCAACTAAATTATACACAACATAAAACATGATGTTAACCATTTTTAAGTTTAGTGGTATTAGATACATTCAAATTGTTTTGCTACCTACCATCACCACCATCCATCCACAGAACTCTTTCATCTTGTGAAACTGAGACTCTGTACCCATTAAACACTAACTTCTCATCCCTTCCCAGCTCCTGGCAGCCAGCATTCTACTTTCTGTCTCTTTGAGTTTGCAAAGAACAAGTTTTTGATTGCTCCTTTTTGAGTGATCATCTAATGGAATGTCTTCCAAGAAAATCTACAGTGGGTCATATGAGTGTTTCAGTTTGATGGAGTTCATAATCTTTATCTGACATGATTTTTTTTCTGGGTTTGGCCACACTTAATATTTTTAATTGGGTCCATAATACTTTCAGTAATAATTGTGCTCAGAAGTATGCTTAGCTGTAAGTGTGCAAATTAGAACCATGATGTTCTTTAAAGCACATCTTATAAAAGATGCCCCCCACTCTGTTTATACATGTGGTTCCTTTATGTTCATTAAACTCACTGACATTTTTGGAGGAACTTGTTTATGCCCCCTTGCCTTCAGATGAATATGATGGCTTTGAGTATTTTTGCTGTGACCTTGGACTAGGCTGAAATCAGCTTTGAGCTTCAGAGTCTGGGAATGAACTGTGGACCTAAACATTCACTGACACAGTTCGGGTGTGTCTGAAAGTAACTTTGTTCTAGAGGCCCAGCAGGAGAGGAAAAGTCATTTGTACTGTAGATGTGTGGAAATCGCCCTAGGTTAGGAATAGTTGTTAATACTTTAAATTCTGTTTTGTTGGGAATTCTTACTAGGATTCTTCCTGTTTAATCATTTCTCTTTTTGTTTTATTGAATGAACTAGATCTTTCATTCCAGTATGAAATAGAGGTAGTAAAAGTGGCCTTACCATGTTCCTTATCATAGCAGAAAAGGTTCCAAAGTTCCCCATGAAGTATCATGCTAGCTGTAGGCTTTTCATTTATACTCTCTGGGAGACTGAGACATTTATATTTGTAGTTTGCTGAAATTTCTTTTTTCATAAATGGGTATTTAGGTGTTTTTTTCTTCATTCATTGAGATGCTCCTGTGATTTTTATCCTTTTTTCTGTTAAAATGATGAATTACACTGACTGTCAAATGTTGAGCCATCATTGTTTCCTGAAATAAAAACCACTCGATCCTAGTATATTAATCTTTTTATGTGTTACTAGGTTCAATTTGCTATGGCAAATATTGATGTATAATTTTATTTTGTTAGATTTTGGTTTTAGGGTCATGTTGGCCTTGTAGCATGAGTTGGAAGGCCTTTCCTCCTCGTCTTCTGTTGTTTCAAAGAAATTTTGTAAGATTGCTAGAACTCTTCTTGGAATGTTTGATAGTGTTTACCAGCAAAGTTATCTGGGTCTTGGGTTTTCTTTGTGGGAGGTGTTTTGATAAGAAATTGAAAATTTTAAGTAGTTTTTTTTTTTTCTGAGTCAGTTTTGGTAATTTATATTTTCAAAGGGATTTTTCCATTTCTTCTAACTAGTTGAATTTACTGGCCATAGAGTTTTTGTAGTAGTCCCTTTTTAACTTCTTAATGTCCATGAGGTCTTTCTTGGTTAATTCACTTTCATTCTTGATTGGTGGATATATGTTATACTATTATTTTGTGTGGTTGGGCATAGGTGCTTTTCTGGACAGATCTTGTTCTAGTACCATTATTTTGTTCTTTTTGTCAGATGCTCACAAGCTAAAGAAGTTTTATATGTGTTAGATTGCTTGGTTACTGTTTATTCAGTTATTCAAGACCTTTATTACAAATCCTTATGAAAATTTAGCTAAGTACACACACACATACTGCGCACATACATAGGAAAGAAAACGTCTTTCAAATTCATTCTTTCTAGCCTTTCAGATTTTGTTTGCCTCCAATATGGAGCAGTGCAGGAACCTGAAAAATGCTAGGATATATGTTCTGAGCTGAGTTGTTCAATAGAGTAACCACTAGGCTGATGTGACTATAGAATAGGCCCTTGAAATATGGCTCATCCAAATTATGATGTGCTGTGAGTGTAAGATACTCATGGGGTTTCTAAGACTTAATATGAACAGAAGAATAACATATCTCAGTAATCTTTTGTAATGACATGGGAATACTGTTTTGGACATATTGGATTAAATGAAATATATTGTTAGAATTAATTTTGCTTGCTTCTTTTGACTTTTAAAAATGGTTGTTAAATTAAAATACATTTGTAGCTTGCTTTAGATTTCCTTTGGACAGCACTGTTCTAGACAACATAAAATGAACTGCTCTTCTGATCATTCTTGCTTAAAGCAGACTGTATTAGGTGAACCCAGTTGTATCTTACTTTGCAAATGGATTTGTTATTTACAAGTGGTGCTGTGGATTCTTGTACAGAATTTTTCAAGTATATAAAGAGTAGAGAAGAGTATAATAAATTTCTGTGTACCTGTCATCCAGTTTTAACAAATATCAGCTCTTGGTTGATCTTGGCTTATCTTTACCCCTTTCCATTTCTTGTATCTACTTCCTGGAATGCTTTAAAGCTAATAGAAATAATTTTTTAAATGCCACAGGAGAAATAATTATTTGAGGTACTAAGTCTTTTTGTAAAATGAATGCCTCTCTGCTGATTTATCATGACTTTAAATTTGAATCCTACTGTGGTGATTTTTTTAAAATGGAAGTATACCATTTTACAGGGACTTGCCTGGTGTCTCAGCTGGTAAAGAATCCGCCTGCCATGTGGGAGATCTGGTTTGATCCCTGGGTTGGGAAGATCCCCTGGAGAAGGGAACAGCTGGCTACCCACTCTAGTATTCTGGTCCAGAGAATTCCATGGACTGTATAGTCCGTGGAGTGGCAAAGAGTCAAACATGACTGAGTGACTTTCACCTTCTCTTTTCACCAGTTTACATAGGAAAAACAGCTTGACCTTTACAAAGGATTGCAAAATGTGCTTTTGGTGTATCATTAGTATTTATATTTGTTTGATCTGGTTGTTCATTTCATTGTCTAAAAAACAAAACCCCACTTCCTTTTGGAGAAAACTTTTTGTAAGCCCTTTAATAATGTAGTATTGTAGTAATATAGGATTGTCATTAATTTTGATTTTAATTATTATAATTTTTCTTTTAAATAAGGTTTCTTTATACTTGTTTAAAGAACTACCTTTGTATCTTTGGCGACCTTCTGCCTCTGAGATAGCTGTGATTCGGGATTGGTTATTGAATTACAACCTGACATTGGTGAAGAATAAATTGGCCTGTGTTATTCTAGAAGGCCTGAATTGGGGATTTGGTGAACAGGTATGTGTTAAAAACCTTCCCTAAACACTGTCCACACACATCAGTTTTAAAGAAAGATTTTCTCAAACACTAAAATTTTTAAACACCATTTACAAGACCTACAAATTCTCTTAGCTGTGTCAGAATTTAGGATCTCCTCTGAGTTCTGTTTTGCAGAGTGAGCATCCTATTAATGAAGATAAATTGCTCCACACTGAAAATTCCTCCCTTATTCTTGGATCATTTGTTGCTGTTGTTTTATTTCTGGCGATTCACTGCAGTTCCTCCTAGTTGCCGCTCCTGCCTCTGGTCTTCCTTCCTCTTACATTTTGTGTTGTGTGTCATCGCCAGATTTGTCTTCCAGAACACTGTGCCCTGGTTAAGGGCCTGAGCTCTGAGTCAGCCTGCCTGACTTCTGATCCCAGCTCTGCTACCTCCTGTTTGTGCGACCGTGAGCAAGCTTCCTGAACTCCCTGGGCCTCAGTTGCTCGTCTGTAAACATCACACTAATAGGCTTACCTCAGAAGGTTGCTGTAAGGTTTCAGCAAGCTGGGACACAGGAAACATGTTCTTGGCACATGTCAGGGTCTTAGTGGTGGTAGTTATTATTATTAAAAGTTCGCTACCTATCATGTCTCGTAAGATGCCATATCAAGGAATTCTGTCAAAATCTTCCTCCCTTTTTACCTCGGCCTTATTAGTTAGCTCCTTGATAAAAATAGTTAAATATTTTAAAGGGAAAGAGAAGAGAACTCAGCCCCCTGTCTGCCAGCTTTTGTTCTGAGCAAGTCATCTAGTCCTTGCAGTCATCTTGAGCGGTGGTGTGAACATGACCCCTGTCGTACAGATGAGGAACCTGAAGCCAGGGAGCTTTGTCCCCAGGCTGTCCCTAACCACTTGGTCTGCTCCTGGGCTCACTAGGTCTCCTCTCTCTCAGGGCTGGTCGGTGAGAGCTGCAGGAGACTCTTCTCCACCTTCACCTTCTCTGACTTGTGAACAGAAGCCCCCACCCTCTTCTCCCAGAGAGCTGCATACAGAGTGTCTCCTTGCTCTTTGTTAGTGTTTGTAAAGTCCTCTTCTCTGAGAGGGCTAAGGAGTATGTTATGGCAGATGCAAAGGAAGATTGGGTGGGAGAATTGGTAGGCAACTTCAAGCTCCTGAAGGAGTATTTTACGTGTTGTTGAGTATTTTTAATATTTTCACTGATGACAGAAGAAAAGGGAATGTAGACTTAAATTATTACCTTCTTGTTTTGTTAATAATAATTAAACATCTTCCTGATTCTTAATAGTGCCTTTAAACTTGTAACCTAAAGTAATTATAGAGATTTTAGAGTGGGGGTTGAAGGTTGCATTCAAAGATACCTTTTATAACTGAGTTGGTGTTGACTCAGGTTCACACCTAACTGGTGCTGTGTAGTGGTTCTTTAAAGATTTAAAATTTTTTTCCTGTTGTCATTTTATAATTTCATTGTCAGATGTGAGCTCTGGAAAATTTAGCTTTTGCATTCAGGATTTTTTTTTTTTTTTTTTAATCCTAACCTTTCAGTTCAAAGGTATAACAACAACAAAAAAATCAAGATGACATGTTTGTGATTATTTTTCTCTTTAAAAGGGGACTCTTCATCTGGATCAAGCAGTCCATGCTGAAATCGCTTTAATGATTCTTGAAGCATACCAGAAGTACCTTGCACAGAAACCATATGCTGGGCTTCTTTCTGAAAGTATGAAGCAGGTATTTCCTTCTTTTCTTTATTGAGGACATAAGTCTTTATTACAAATGACTTTTACAGTATTTACTCTTAGGTTTCCTAAGAACATTTCTGGCAATTTCAGATATTGAAATTGAGTTCTATGGGTGAAAAAAGATTTTTCTTTAAGAAGTAGTCTATTTATGACCATTTTAATATTGTAGAATTTGAGTTGATCTACAGTGGTGGGCTGATGCTGGCTTGTACTGGCTTGGGAGAACTGACTATTATATTTTTAAGAACTTTGCAAGCCTGGCTGTTAATCTGTGGTGGCTTGAAGTTGACCATGGTGAGAGGTTTTTTTTTTTTAAAACTACCAAAATTGACAAACCCTATAAATGAGCCCCTAAACTCCAACTCGTTGTTAAATTTATTCACCAGCACACCATTCATTGCATACCAACTTTCATATTATTAGTCTTGCTTGAGCTGACCCTGATCAGGTTCACAAAGTGAGTAACAAATAAGCAGAAGTGGTCAGTTATGAGTGAGAAACTGCTTTAATTTAGTGCTGTAAGCAGTGAGTATCAGTAAGCATTGTGTCCTTTCTTTTGAGGGCATTATTGGTCACAAAGAGAGATGGGTGGGTGAGCTTACTAATTTAATGGTTATGTGAATAATGTGGTTTAAAATAAATAAATTGTTTTAGGTTTCATATTTGGCCAATATTGTTCGATATGGAGAGACACCTGAGACCTCATTTAACCAGTGGGCCTGGAACTTGATTTTGAGGTTAAAACTGCACAAAAATGATTATGGAATACAGAAGAATTGTGCACCTGTTCCCTTCTCCAGCACTGTGCCAGAAATGACAGAGTCACCCACGTTTCATCCTCTCTTGAAGGCTGTGAAGGCGGGCATGCCCATTGGCTGTTATCTGGCCTTAGCTGTGACGGCTGTGGGCCACAGGTACAGTGTTTGCGTTAACTTCTGGGGTTGCCGAACCTTGTAGCCAGTGATTCCCCCAACTTCATTTTTCATATCCCAAGGTCTGAGGTCTCGATCAGATCTCTCTAGGGGTGATCAGGGCCAAATGATAAACTTCGATTAACAGTTTATCAAGGGTAAATGCTGCTCAGATTCATGTAGGATGGATCTGTGACAGAAAATCACCAGGGTGCATTATGAAGAGAGTTATACTTCTCACCCAGAGGGGAATGTTTATGTCAGCAGTAAACAGAGTCTCTTTCTCAGAGTAATGACCAAATAAAAATAGTTGGTCACCTGTACTGAGTTTTATTTCAAGTGATGGCAGCCCAACTCAGGCTTTCTAGCTAGAGAGCTTCGCCCACCAAAGGGGTGAATACCTGATCAAGGCAAGCGCTTCTCTTGTGTGAGCCCGTAGCTGTGTCTGTTTCTTCTATTATAGTATTTATCACACTGTAATGTAGGGGTCTGTTTAATTTTATCGAAGATACTCTATGAGGTTAGGACGCAGGAACCATATTTTTCTTGTAATATTTTATCTCTAGTGATGAAGACTGAATCTGGTGCAGTAAGTGACTGAAAGCATGAAAATTCAGTTGGTTAAAAATCCTTTTCTTTAAAGATCATTTTCCTACAGTATATTAATTTTTTCTAGCCTGTCAAGAAAATGTCTTTGACTTACACTTTGTGATTCTTGTGTTTTAGATTAACTGTAGCACCTTTTTAGCATCTGATTTCAATATGTTATTGCCCATTCAATGTATTTTCAGTGGGATGCCAGTTGTCATATGAGCTGTTAGTGTTCAGCCTATGTTATGAAGTAGATATGTGTTAGATACATGTCCTCGGATTGTTGACAGCTTAGTGGACATGGGAGACATAAAACAATTGGTGGTACTGAACAATATAATCATGGGCTGTGGAAGTCGCTCAGTCGTGTCTGTTCTTTATGACACCATGGACTATAGCCTGCCTGGCTCCTCTGTACTAGGAATTCTCCAGGCAAGAATACTGGAGTGGGCAACCCTTCCCTTCTGCAGGGGATCTTCCCAACCCAGGGATGGAACCGAGTACCAGTACAGGGAAGAGAGTGAGAATCCTGATCTGTTTGGTCTGGGGGCCAGTTCTCCAGGTGATTCTTAGTGTATAGCTTAGACTGAGAACTTCTTAAGAGTGTGGGCAGAGAAGAGGTAAAGGAAGGAGGGATCACTAGAGCAGGCTACCATCGTGGAGGAGCTAGGCTTCGGAGAGGAGTCTTAGTTAGAGAAGATGTCCTGGCTAAGGAGCAGAGTGGTGATGCTCACCTTCCCCCGGTGATGAGTGCACACGGTGTTGAAGATTCTGCCTGTGGGTCACCCAGTCCTGCCCTGCAGCACCTGTGCCCTCTGAGGAGCATACTTACCATATTAATATGTAATCACTTCTCCCTCCTCTGAGGGGCTCTGTTTCTTGATGGTAGGGACATGGTAGGGGGTATTGTCTTATCTTTCTATCTCCAGAACTTGTACTTCATAGATCGTTCTTTATTTTTTTTTCTTCTAGTTTTATTGAGAGATAATTTACATACAGCACTGTTTAAGTTTAAGGTGTACAGCACAATGATTTAAAAAAATTTTTTAACTGGAGGAACATTGCTTTACAATGTTATGTTGGTTTCTGTCGTACAACAGCAGAAATCAGTCATAATTATATGTATATGTCCCTTCCCTTCGGAGACTTCTTCCCCTTCCACCATCCCACCCCATCAGGTCATCACAGAGCACCAGGTTGGGCGCCCTGTATTTTATAGTAGCTTCCCCCTAGATATCTGTTTTACACATGATGGTGTGTATATGTCAATACTGCTTTCTTAATTTGTCCCTCCCTCTCCTTCCCCGCCTCTGTCCACAAGTCCATTCTCTACATCTTCGTCTCCATTCCTTCCCTTCAAATAGTTTTTTATCAATACTATTTTTCTAGATTCCCTTTGTGTGTTAATATGTGATATTTGCTTTTCTGACTTACTTCACTTTGTATAACAGGCTTTAGGTTTATCCGCCTCAGTTCAACTGGCTCAAATTCATTTCTTTTTATGGCTGTGTAATATTTCATTGTATATATTTACCACATCTTCTTTATCCATTCATCTGTAAATGGACATCTGATTTGCTTCCATGTCCTGGCTGTCAGCATAATGATTTAACTTACATACATCATGAAGTTATCACAAGTTTAGTGGACATCCATCATCTCATGTAGATATAAAATTAAAGAATAGAAATATTTTTTTCTTGTAATAAAGACTCTTGGTGTTTACTCTCTTAAAAACTTTTATATCTAATGTACAACAGTGTTAATTATATTTATCATGTTGTACATTACGTTATTTATTTGATAACTGGAAGATTTTACCTTTTGACCATCTTCATCTTATTCCCCTTCTCTGCACCTTCCCTGACTACCCCTCGCCTCGTCAGCCTTGGCCTCTGGTAACCACAAATTTCATCTCTTTTTTCTATGAGTTTGTTTGTTTTTGAAGTATAATTTACCTACAGCACTGTGTTAGTTCCTATTGTACAACATAGTGATGCAGTATTTCTATTCATTTATAACTGGTCACCTGAAAAGTCTAGTTATGTTACTATAAAAAAATATTGCATAGTTATTGACTATATTTCCAACACTATACATTTCATATCCATAGCTCATCTATTTTGCAATTTGAAGTTTGTACCTCTCAATATCTCTCATCTGTTTCTCCACCCCAAGCTGCCTTCTCCTAGGGTTATGATTCTAGCATTTGTGTGTGAAATTTGGCTATTTATAAATGTGTTGGAGACCTGAAATAATCCGAGTAGCTTGTAGGCTGATAGTGCATTAAAAGAACATCATTTTATGAACTGACTACCTTATATGCTCATTGCTTTTTTCTTTTTCCATAGCATTGAGAAGTTCTGTGCAGAAGGCATCCCACTCTTGGGAATTCTGGTCCAGTCGAGGCATTTGAGAACAGTGGTCCATGTCCTGGATAAGATTCTGCCTTTGTTCTACCCTTGCCAGTATTACCTTCTAAAGAATGAGCAGTAAGTGGAGAACACACAGCAAATACAAAATGACTGTGTCCTCTGGTTTTTCAAGTATAATATAGGCAATGATATTTCTATAGTGTATTTCTTATGAAGCAGAAAACTTCCTGCCTAGTTGAGAATGCAGAGTGATGAACGAAGACTCTAGTAATGATCCCAGTTTTACTGTTATGAAAGATACTTCCTTTTGTCATTTAATTCTGGATTGCTTGATAGCTTATAGTATTGAAAAGGGTGGCTGTTTCCCTGAGACTGGGAATACTGCTTCTGACCTTGAGCAGCAGATGGCTTTGCTATTGTAATAGTAGCAAAACATATTGCCTTTAATTGAACAGTGTGCATGAGGCAGTATTACAAACAGAGAAGATACACAGAAAGGTGCTCATCACATGAGACATTCATAATCTTGTGAGAAAGTAAGACTTTTGAGGTAATCACAAAGTTATGAAAGAAAATACTGGCAAGGCCACGGTAGGGTATACAGATTGCATTTGCATTACAGTTGACCCTTGAATCACACAGGTTTGAACTGTGCAGGATATTTTTCAATAAATATACTAGAAAACTTTTTGGAGATTTGTGACAATTTGAAAAAATTCACAGATGAATTATGTAGCCTACAGATATTGAAAAAAAGTATGCATGAATGTGTAAAATATATCTGGATACTAGTCTATCATATACTACCATAACATATACACAAATTTATTAGAAAAATTTAAAATTTATCAACACTTAAAACACACAAGCAGAGACCATACATGATGCCATTCACAAATGAGAGAAATAGAAGCAAACCTAGAGATACATTATTAATTTATAGCTGCATAAATTAACTAGTACATTTTGTACTACTGTAATAATTTTGTAGCCACCTCCTGTTGCTGTTGGATTTCCCAGGTAGCTTTGAGGTAAAGAATCCATTTGCAATGCAGAAGACGCAGGAGATGTGGGTTCAATCCCTGGGTGGGAAGATCCCTTGGAGGAGAAAATGGCAACCCACTCTAGTATTCTTGCCTGGAAAAATCCCATGGAGAGAGGAGCCTGGAGGGCTATAGTCCATGGGGTTGTAAAGAGTTAGACATGACTGAGTATGCATGCATGCACCTGTTGCTATCAGGGTACACTCAAGTGAGTAGCCACCTGACACTCTGTGTGACGCTAATCATCTCCAAGTGAGCATTTTGTCTCTTCAGTAAATGGTGTATCACAGTAATAAGTGACTTCTTGCAGTTCTCAAATCATTTTCATTGTGTTTAGTGCAATACTTGTAAGACTTAAATAACACCAGGGGACCTCTAATGATTCTGAAAGTGAGCCCAAGAAGCAGAGAAAAGTCATGACATTACAAGAAAAAGTTGAATTGCTTGATATGTACCATAGATTGAGATCTGCAGCTGCATTGCCTGTCATTTCAAGATAAATGAATCTAGCGTAGGGACTATTGTAAAAAGAAAGAAAAGGAAATTCATGAAGCTCTCACTGCAGCAATACCAGTAGGCACTGAAACATTGCACTTTTTGTGAAACGCCTTTTTATCTCATATTGAAAATAAGCTTTTATTTGAGCACTAAGAAAGACACACTAAGAAAGGTCCTAATGTGATTAGAGAAAAGTCAGAGTTGTTATATGACAACTTAAAGCAAAAGGAAGGTGAAGGCTCTAAAGCTGGAGAATTCAATTCCAGCACAAGATGGTTTGATAATTTTAGAAAGTAGTTTGGCTTTAAAATGTCAAGATAACAGGAGAAGGCAGCAGACGAGTTTCCAGGTGCCATTACAAATATCATTGAGGAGAAAGGATCTCTGCCTGAACAGGTTTTTAATGCAGATGAAATGCCCTATTCTGGAAAAAAATTGCTACAAAGGAAATTTGTTAGGAAGGAAGGGAAGCAGGCATCAGGATTGAAGGCAGGAAGGGATACACTAATTCTACTGTTTTGTATAAGTGCAATTGGGATTACCATCAGGACTGCCCTTATCTGCAAACCTGCTGACCCCCACCCTCCCCACCCCCCCGCTTTGAAGGGAAAAGATAAACACCAGCTCCCAGTCTTTCAGTTGGACAAGAAGGCCTGGGTAGAGAGAACCCTTTTTCTTGATTAGTTCCTTCAAGCTTTGTCCTTGAAGTCAGAAAGTGCCTTGCCAGAAAAGGACTCCTTTTTGAAGTTCTTTTGATACTGGACATACAGAACCTCATGAGTTCAACACTGAAGGCTTCGTAGTGATCTCTTTGCCTTCACACACACCATCTCTAATTCAGTCTGTAGATTAGGAGGTCATAAGGACCTTTAAGGCTCATTATACACGGTACTTTATGGAAATAATTGTCAATGCTATGGAAGAGAACCCTAGCAAAGAGAAAATCGTGAATCTGGAAGGATTATGCCATTCAAGATGCCATTGTTAATAGAAACAAGCATGAAAAGGAACTTCCTTAGTGTTTCAGTGGCTTTATACACGATACTTTATGGAAATAATTGTCAATGCTATGGAAGAGAACCCTAGCAGAGAGAAAATCGTGAAAATCTGGAAGGATTATGCCATTGAAGATGCCATTGTTGTTATAGAAACAAGTGTGGAAAGGAACTTCCTTGGTGTTTCAGTGTCTAAGACTCTGTGCTCCCAATGCAGGGGGCCCAGGTTCGATCCCTATTCAGGGAACCAGATCCTACATGATGCAGCTAAGAGTTTGCATGTTACAACTAAAGATCCCGCATGCCTCAACTGATAACCTGCTGCTGTGCTGCTAAGTTACTTCAGTCGTGTCCGACGGCAGCCCACCAAGCTCCCCTGTCCCTGGGATTCTCCAGGCAAGAACACTGGAGTGGGTTGCCATTTCCTTCTCCAGTGCCTGAAAGTGAAAATTGAAAGTGAAGTTTCTCAGTCGTGTCCGACTCTTAGCGACCCCACGGACTGCAGCCCACCAGGCTCCTCTGTCCATGGCATTTTCCAGGCAAGAGTACTGGAGTGGGGTGCCATTGCCTTCTCCTAACTGATACCTAGCATAGCCAAGTAAATAAATATTAAAAAAGAGAGGAAAAAAACCCTGCAAGCCATCAGCCCAAAACAATAAGTTCCTGTTGGAGAAAAGTATGTTCAGAGGTTGTGCATGAATGACTTCATGGTTTATGACAGAACCAGTCAAGGAAATCATGAAACGGATTGTAGATATCGCAAAGAAGGTGGGGCTGGGGGTGGGGGAAGGGTTTCAAGAAATGGATCTTGCAGAAATTCAAGAGCTAATAGACCCCACACCAGAGGAGTTAACAGAAGATGGCTTGATTGACACGGGTGCTTCTGAACCAGTGCCAGATGATGAGGAAGAAGCAGTAGAAGCAGCAGCGCTAGAAAACAGATTCTTTACCGGCTGAGCCACCGAGGAAGCCCCAGAAAACGGTTAACAGTAGACAGTCTGGCAGAAGGTTCCGATCACTGAAGACTGATCTTGACCTCTTTTACAACATGAACCCCTCTATGATGCAGGCACTGAAACTAAAGCAAATGGGGAAGGAGGACTGATACTGTATAGAAACATTGTGGGAGAAATGAAAAAGCAAAGAAGTCAGATTTCAGTGTATTTCTCTAAAGCTACACTGAGTGTGCCTACCTCTCCTCTTCCCCTTCCACCTCCTCTGCTTCCTCTGCCTCTGCCACCCCTGAGACAGCAAGACCAGCCCCTCCTTTTCCTCCTCCTCAGCCTGCTCAGTGTGATGATAATGAAGATAAAGACTTTTATGATGATCCGCTTCCTCTTAACGAACAATAAATAGTCATAATGCTCTACACTGATAAACTTACCTGTTGGGTATGTGTGTATCTTTGTGTGAAAATCTGACAACTGTATGGCAAGAACTGTGTGAGACGTTTTTGAGTCGTCATCCTCATCACCTAAGTAGTCATCATGTAGGACGTGCTGTGCGAGAGTAGTGTTAAAATGAATAACCTCTCCTTATGTAGGCATAAGGTTAGTGACATTTAATATAAAATTAGTAATGTGTTAGTTTTCTTAACTTTTTTAGTTGTATACCTTTGCTTTCAAAGAATTATACTACTGTACAGTATGCTTCTCTCTCATAACTGGAGAAATGGTATATCCACCTGTCATCACAGATAAGTAGTTCTTAAAACAATGTAATGTTTACAGTACTGTGTTATGAATATGACTGTCATACTCTCGGTGATAAAATTTTTATAACGAATCATTCAGTATACAGGCTAGATGATTTTGAAAGCGTCATATTGATTATACGAGGCTACCATAGAACAGTCATATTGCTGCTTCTTCATTATTAATGCATGAATTGTTACTCCTGTAAGTAAATGTGAATTTCTTTTTCACACTGTCTTTTCATTTTTGTTGTCTGGTGTTAATAGGTGTAGCATCTACAGTGTTTTATGGCATATAAAGCAGTATTGATGTAGGTGCTGACAGATGATTCACCTTGTAAACAGATGATGTAAGCTTACAGTATCAGTGGAAATAGTACAGTACTGTGAATGTATTTTCTCATGATTTTCATAATATTTTCTTTAACTTACTTTATGATAAGAATATAGTATATAATACAGCAAACAAAATATGTGTTAATTGACTGTTTATGTTGTTGATAAGGCTTCTGGTCAGCAGTAAGCTATTAATAGTTAAGGTTTGGGGGAAGTCAAATTTCAAGTGCGTGGGAGCCTCAATACCCGTAGCCCTGTGGGTGTAAGGTTCAACTGTATATGGCAAAAGTATATGGAATCATGGTAAAAGAAATAGGTGCTTAGGGAGGAAAAAGAATTAAGGATGGGTGTGAATTAAGATACTTAATTGCACATGGTGAGAATCCAGTACATACCTGTTGCCAGGAAGGGACTGTTGTGGCTCATGTGATTAGGAAACAAGGCTCGCGATAACATCAGGTCATTCTAAAGTGGTGGTTTTCAACTTGTGGTGTTTTGACCCTCAGGGGACACTTGATACTGTCTAGAGATCAGTGTAGCTCAGTGGTAAAGAATTTGCCTGCAATGCAGGAGGTGTGCGTTCTATCCCTGGGTTGGGAAGATTCCCCTGGAGGAGGAAATGGCAACACACTCCAGTATTCTTGCCTGGGAAATCCCATGGTTGGGGGAGCCTGGCGGGCTACAGTCCATGGGATCTCAAGGAGTGGACTTGATTTCGTGACTAAACAACAACAGCAACAATAAGAGATTGTTTTGGTTGTCACAGCCTGGTTGGGGGTGGGGCAGGTTGGGCAGGTGGTTGGGAGAGGGGGATTTAGGGGACAGTTGAGGGAAGCTGCTACTGATACCTGGTGGATAAAGGCCAGGGATGGTACTAAACATTCCACAGTGCACAGGAGAGCCCTTCCCGGTAGTTAGCCGTCCCAACATGGCAGTCGTTGCACAGCTGAGAGGCGGGGGATTAGTGCTTCTCTTTGTGTGAACCTGCCCTCCCGGGTCCCTTGGCCCTGCTTCTGTCTCTTTCAGGCCTTCTCTTGCAGGTGTACTTTTTCTAGGGGAATGAAACTGCATGGCTACAGAGAGAACTAGGCAAAGGCAAATGTTTTTCTTTATCATTATTCCTTATAGTGATTCCTGATTGGTCTGACTCATCTGCTTTCCAGCACCTGTACTGTGTCCGTGGGATTGACCAGTCCTGGGAGGATGGTTGTACAGGCTGCATTGTGCTGGTCATGGCTTTTCTTTTCCACTCCAGTGGAGTTTGGCCTGCGAAGTGGGACGCTCCCTCACTCAGCAGCAACCTCTGCACTGCCACCATCTGCATGCAGGCCGGGCAGTGCCCTCAGGCACATAGGAAGTTATCACATCCTCAGGATGCAGTTCCCAGTTTAAAGTGCCGTCAAGGAAAACAGTGGTGCTGTGGGAGAGGTTCATGGGTTAGACATGTTTTAGGTGCGGCAAGGGATCAGGAAGTCTCCTCTGAGGAGGGGACATTGCAGATGAGAGGTGAGTGACGAGTAGGAGTTTGTCAAGTTAGGTGTGGGAGAGGTGTTTCAGGCAGAAAACCCAGCAGAGGCAAAGACCCTAGATGAAGATGGAGCTTGGTGCACCCAGGGAACGGGTCTGTAACTGAATTGTGATATCTGCACCCCACCCCCCCCCACCCCCCGCCACCCAGTGTCCCGTATGCCACCTTGTGTGGAATTGACACCCAGTGAAAGATTGCAGGGTGATTCTGCAGCCATCTTTGCTCTTGTTCTCAGGAGTGGGAAGGGGATGGAGTGGTGCTTTGGGTGTTTTCCCTCCAATGCTCTTTAACTTGCACAAGTTTATGTGTCTTAGACCTGTTCACTGCACGTTTATAGGTCAGTAGATTTAACCCATGTCAAACTGGAAAACTTTATTCTTCTGAAATTCCTGATGATTTTTATCAGAATCCCTGAATAGAGCTTTAGTCTAAAAATGGGACCATATCAGTGTTTTTCTGTCAGTAATTAGCCACTGGAAATTCTGTTGACCTCCGATAGGGAGGTAAAGAGCGTTGTCCTGTGTGCCCCGCAGGTTTCTGTCACACCTCCTCCTGTTCCTGCACTTGGACAGCGGTGTCCCCCAGGGGGTCACGCAGCAGGTCACCCACAAGGTGGCACAGCACCTGACAGGAGCCAGCCATGGGGATAACGTGAAGCTTCTCAACAGCATGATCCAGGTCAGGGTCCCGTCAGCCCCTAAATGTGCCCTCACCTGCCTTCCTGATCAGATGCCCCTGGTGCTAACATGCCTATGTGTTAGTCAACAGATCTGGTTTTGTAATGGAGCTAGATGTTATTTGGAGTTTTACGGGTGGGAGGCTGGTTATTACCTTTCTCATCACCTGAGTCCTTTCTCCATAGGCCCATATTTCTGTAAGCACTCAGCCCAATGAAGTGGGCCCAGTAGCTGTATTGGAGTTCTGGGTTCAGGCTCTTATAAGCCAACATCTTTGGTACCGGGAACAACCCATCCTCTTCCTCATGGACCATTTGTGTAAAACAGCTTTTCAGTTGATGCAAGAAGACTGTGTGCAGAAATTGCTCTACCAGCAACATAAGGTAAACCTGTTGTGGAATTTATCTTTGTCATCAGCTAGATAGTAGCCTTCTAAGGAGGTTCCCCACATGCATCCTTCTCAGTGCTGCTTTGTGCCCACTGCCTTTTTAAAGCCTTGCCTTAACGGTGTCTTGTCGAGAAACCATAGTCTGCCAGCACGGCTCCTTGTAAAGCCAAAGAAGGACACCCAAGGAGGAGCCCTGCTCATTCATTGCATTTGGCTGTGATGTGGTGGGATTATCACTGCTGGTAGACTGATTACTGAACTCTGTATCTTACCTGAATTGTTCACTGGCATAAGATAATTGCTGTATTCTTGAAAAGCTCGTTGATTCTGTTTTTTTAAAGCCACCTCTCTCTGCTCCACATGCTCTCCCTGGTGTAGAATGCTTTGGGCTACCATTGTGACCGGAGTTTGCTCTCGTCTTTGGTGAGCTGGATCCTGGCAGGCAACATCACTCCTTCCTTTGTGGAGGGCTTGGCCACGCCCACTCAGGTAGGAAACCTGCTGTGGCTCATTTGTTATCTTTGTGTACTTTAGTATTGTTATTATTCTTACCTACATTACTAAGAGCCTAAAATGTCTAACATCTATTTAGCACTTACTCCGCATAAGAATGTTTTTCCTTTTAATCCTCACAGTAGCCCTCTGCTGAGGTTGCGGCTGTTGCTGTCCCTGTTTCACAGGGGCACTGACTGAGGCTTAGCAGAGTCAAGTGGCTGGCCCCGAATCAGATAGCTGGTTATCAGAACTCCAGCTGCCTGACTGCAGAGCCTGCCCAGCAGCAGGACAGGGTGGTGAAGAAGCTGGAGCCAGACTGCCCGGAACTCAGCCTTGGTTGTGCCATTTGCTGGCCCTATGCCTTGGGAACTGACTTACTCTTTGTCTCCAGAATCCTCAACAGTCAAACGGGTGTAGTGTTATTACTAGCTGTTGGTTGTTTTTATTGTTGTCATCGTTTTCATTAATTCACCACATTGTTTTTATCATTATTGCCACCTCTTGGACTCTGTGTGTCGAATTCTGTCTTTGTTCTATCACTTAAACCAGTAGTAGCATTCTTCAACTTCTTGTCACAGCCTTACCTCCTGCTCTTCCTCATACCTCTTGGGATCCAGCTGAGACAAACTCCGTGTTGTTATCTGCATGTATCTCTGGCATTTCTATCTTTTGCTGAGCTGATTCTCTTATCAGACATGCCTTCCTCTCTGGTCTCTGTGTAGAGCCTTGTCTGATACATTTATCTTCTCTGATCCTACCTCCCTTCTCTAGTTTCTAGTGTTGACCTCTGATTCAACACTCACACTTCACACTGAACATTTTGGTTACTTATATATTAGTCTTGTCTCCCCTAGTGAATGGAAAACTTATGGGCAGTTACTAAAGTAGCCTTTCCAAAGGAATTTAATGTTTTTCAATAGCCTATTTTATATAAATTTATATCTGTGATACAAGTAGAAATAGGTTTAAAAAGCTATGTGTTAATTTTAGAAACTATAAATGTGTTGATTGAAATCTGTGATAGCAAGGGTGTTAATTTGTGGAATATGAGGGTGTGTCTTTCTGTCTGAATTGGAGCTCGTTCCTTTCATGTTTATCTGGTGTTCTTGCAGGTGTGGTTTGCATGGACAGTCCTGAACATGGAATCCATCTTTGAAGAAGACTCCCAACTCCGAAGAGTTGTTGAAGGGGAATTGGTTATAAACTCTGCATTTACCCCCGACCAAGCTCTGAAGGTGCAAATAGCAGTTCTGCATTTGAGTGGTAGAAGGTGGTTCACACTTTGATGATGATGGGTTCACCTATAGCTTTTGAACTTCTGTGTTTTCTTTTGTTGGGAATGTTTGGGAAGCACAATAACTGTTCTAATGCTTAACATGGTGAATTGAAGTGTATATTTCCTTTCCGAGGTTTATGTAACATCGAGAGTCACAACTTTTATAATTTGAGGCTGTGTCCACTGCATGTATGAAGGAGATTGCCCTTGTTTTAGAGCATCAGAATCCCCTAGAGAGCTTGTTAAGAATCTGATTCCTGGACCTCCAACTTCTGAGATTCTCAATCTGGAGTGGGACAAAGAATTTATTTTTAGAAACTCCCTAGCTGATCCTTAGGCTCACTAAAGTGTGAGAAAAACTGGAATAAGTCTTTAGAATTAAAGACCTTCTATTTTAGGGTCCTATAGTGTAGACTGTGCTTTTCGATTTCAGAGCCTGTCAAGGTATTTATCATTCTTGAACATCCATTTAAAATCTAAATTTTCAAGAGATTGATAAGATTTGTAAAATTTACTTTAGTTTTCATATTATTCTTGCACTATAGTGTTTTACATCAAAAGGAATGGAAAGGCATGGAAATGAGATTAGACTCGGTGATACTTAAGACCCAGTCCAGTTCTGGGGTTTGTGAAATTTTTAACAGAAAAAAGGCTGCCCCATGTGTCTTGTTACTGGGAATTTAAAGTGTTAGCCTAGGGGGTTGGAAAAGTAAGGTTTATATGACTTTTTTTCCCCCTTATTGAATCGAAAACACAATGGTTAGCATTTCATTTGACTCACTTAGGACGAACATACCGTTTGCAGATGTGATCATTACATGGTTGCTCAAAGCCCATCTCTTTTGTAGAAAGCCCAGGCTCAGCTGAAGCTCCCCATTGTGCCGTCCCTCCAGAGGCTGCTGATTTATCGTTGGGCCCACCAGGCTCTCATCACGCCTTCTGACCATCCTCTTCTGCCCCTCATCTGGCAGAAGTTCTTCCTCCTGTACCTGCACCGTCCAGGACCGCAGTATGGGTACGGTACCCAGTGTAGTAGTGAGTCAGTTCCTGCTTTGCACTGCCCTTCTGCTCTGTGTTCTCCCGCTGTGACACGGGAACCAGAGTCATTCTGGCTCAGAGCCTCCCTCCTTCCTGTTTCACATCTGTTAGACTGGACCTTTTCTGAGTTCAGGGTATCTTGGGGCAGCTCTCGCTTCATCACCCCCCATACCCAGTTTGGTGAAGGCAACACCCTGGAACTGTGCGGAGTTTATCAGAGAGCCTCTGGAGTCCCGCACTGAGGCTGCTTGTGTGGCCACGGTGGGCTTATTTGAAGGGACCTGAGATGGTAGCGTGCGTGTGCTAAGTTGCTTCAGTTGTGTCCGACTCTTTGCAACCCTGTGGACTGTACCCCCGCCAGGCTCCTCTGTCCATAGGATTCTCCAGACAAGAATACTGGAGTGAGTTGCCATGCCCTGGGATCTTCCCGACCCAGGGATCAAGTGCATGGCTCTTGCAGCTCCTGCACTGGGAGGCAGGTTCTTTACGCCTCGTGCCCTTGGTGATGCAGGTACGGACAAAGGCCAGGACTTGCCTGGCGTGCCCACTGCTGTCTGGCTCCAGCTCAGTGTTTCTGCTTCCCTTGCACTCCTTAACTCACCCTGTTTGAAACATACAGATGGTGATTATTCGTCACTTCTGTTTTCAGCTGGTTGCAAGTTCAAGAAGAGGGACTGTCTTTTTTTTTTTCCGTTTATTTTTATTAGTTGGAGGCCAGTCACTCTACAACAGTGCAGTGGTTCCTGTCATACACTGACATGAAGAGGGACTGTCTTTAATCACTTCTGTACCTCTAAGTGGTGACAGTATCTTGAATTTGCATAGCATTTCATTCTTTTAAAAACTGCTTTTATATGCATCATATTGTTGGAACCTCATTATAAGCCTTGCGTAAAAATGATATGTATTAATAAAATGAGTTGTTAATGGACTGTAATGTTGTGTCACGTAGAGTCTTGTGTTGATCCTGTGTGCTCTTTGCTTGAATTTTTTAAGGTTACCTATAGATGGTTGTATTGGAAGAAGGTTTTTTCAAAGCCCTGCTCATATCAGTTTGCTGAAAGAAATGAAGAGGCGCCTGACAGAGGTGGCTGACTTCCACCACGCTGCAAGCAAGGCCCTCCGCGTTCCAGCAGAGGGCAGTGCAGGGCCGCCAGTGAGCCAGGCGGGCCCCCTTGCTCACCTGACTTCGCCAGAACTGCACACCGAGCTTGTGAGGTGAGGCGTGGCTGGTGAGCCGTTTGTGTCGTTGTTTGCAGCGCAGGTACTTGGATACTTGTGCTGGGTTGCTGATTTGTGTTACAGCTGCTCCTAACCTGTTAGATTGACTGTGGAAGGTGGTTTTGACTATAGGTTTGTATCTTGTAATGTTTCTTTTTTGTGTTTCTTATGAGAAGTGAATCAGCAATTTGGATGTACCTCTGTGAAGTGCCTGGAGTCTGAGTGAACGCTTTTAAACTGGAGGGCTGGTGACCTCTTTTATTTCTTTATTTAGTAACAGAAGCAAACCGAAACAAGTGATCATAGCAAGTTAACTACTAGTATAGTCTGCTAGGATAGTTCTCTAAAAGAAATAAATGACTCAGGCACCCTGAGTTCTTTAAATGGGGTTCATAGGCCCTCTAGGAAATTCTGGTATTGACCTGGGGTGTGGTAGATTCATAATCTTCCAAAACTGCTTCTGAAAAATAGACTCAGTATTTGCACACACTGTAAATGGTTAAGAACTCAGAGGTAAGCTTGTGTCTGCTTCACACTGTTCTTCTACCTTTCATTTGTAAGCTTGATGTAAACCAGATATTAATCATATAAATATGACTTAATAAAAATAACTCTTAATAATAAACTCAATACAAAATGAATATAAAAGTCTTGGTGAGGAAACCCAGTGTTTCAGCTCAGCTCTCAGACTTTAGGCTTGATTGACTTCAAAGCCTTAGGGCTTATCTCTGCCTCCAGAGTAATTTCTCTCTGTCTCTTTCTTACTTGAAAGAAAACTTCTTTTTGCTGGGCTTAACCAGTGGGAATGCTTTATCATTGAACATTTAGATCAGCTAAGAAAGTCTTTGATGTCCCCTTTTGCCTTCTGGCATGTTGTGAAGTAGATATATAAGCCCAGGCAAGCTGAGCAAGAGCTCTTCCCAGCCTTTCCCCTTTAAGAACCTCAAAGCTGTGTCTCTGGGTCTCTTCCTAGAGGCTGCAGTCAGGGTGAAGGTGGTATTTTTCCACCTTACTGCGTAAAGCGCAGCCATACTACCTTCAGGTCTCCACCTGGCACTTTGTGTATATGTGTGCTGTAGACAACTCTGGTACTTGTTGCTGCAGACAGCTGCTTAAAATACCAGTGATCTGAGCTAAATGGACTGTGTTCTTTGTAAAACCAAAAAATAAAAACAAAGGAAGCATCATTAAATTAAAAAAAAAACTTACCGGAAAATTGAGAATTTTTTTTCTTCCTCCTGTTTTTAGCTGTTTCCTGCTGTTCTTTCTTCACGGGAACAGAGTGCAGACATGCTGTGGGCTCTCTCTTGATTCCTTGAGGCAGGAAATTGTCAGTCGGCCTAGAGCTGGCAGAGCGTTCTGATGCACAAGTTTAAAATGGCTGTTAGTGTTTTCTCTGAACGATGGCAGACGTGTTTATTTGAATGTGCTTTACGCTTTTCCAAGCACCAGGACTCACTGTGACTAGATTGCCTAGGAGAGAAAAACTCCAAATTCAGATCCTTGATCTGTGTTAACGTCACCTTCTCCAGTTATTTTTCCTGTGTACTATATTTAACCCTCTTTTGTAATAGAGTTCACAGAGCCCTTTCTTCATACTTTTTGTATTAGCAATTATTATTGCACCATATTTAAATGATTTGTGACCTTTCTCCCTTGCTGGCCCTTCTTGGGAATGGAAACATTTTCTGTTACATGCTTCTAAACTTTTATCTTTTAGTGCTGGTGTTCCTAGAGATGTAAGAGCCTTAATTTGCTTGTGCATCTTTTTGTATTTTTATATGATTATGTTTTTTTCTTTTTCCCTTTTAGGCTCTTCAATGTGTATATATTATGGCTAGAAGATGAAAATTTTCAAAAAGGAGATACCTATATCCCTTCTCTGCCAAAGCATTATGACATTCACCGGCTAGCAAAAGTGATGCAGAATCAGCAGGTGACACTAGCAGTGTCTTTTGTAGCATATCTGACTGTAATTTGAATTGGTCACTTTTATAACTTAATGGTAAAACCACTTATTGATATGGAAATGGGATCATTGGGATGGTCATTTTTTTTTGTGGTTTTCTCAGTATGTAAATGAGTTTTTTAAAAATTTTATTCACTTATTTTTTAATTTTTGGTTGCACTGGGTCTCTGTTTCTCCTCGCAGTCTTTTTCCGGTTGTGGTGAGCAGGGGCTACTCTCTAGCTGTGGCGTACAGGCTTCTCATTGCAGTGGCTCCTCTTGTGGAGTATGGGATCTAGGTTCATGGGCTTCAGTAGTTGTGGTTCTGTGGCTCTTGAGCTTAGTTGCTTCGCAGTATGTGGAATCTTCCTGGACCAGGGATCTAACCCATATCTCCTGCATTGGCAGGCAGACTCCTATCCACTGTTCCTCAGTGAAAGTCCGTAAATGATTTTTTTGAAGGCAATTTGTTGCCAGAATCTTGGCTTTCTGTGCACCAATGCCAAACAGAAATACAGAGACAGAGTTATGGAGGAGAAAGAAAGAGTGGCTTTATTACTTTGCCAGGCAAAGGGGGAACATAGTAGGTTATCGCCTCAAGAGCTATGTCCTCTTCTCTGGTGAGTAAGGAGAGGTTATATAGTCAGGCAGGGGTATATGATAAGGATGAAGGCAGTAACAGTCTTGGATTCTTCTGCAGTTTCACAAGGGCAGGATTGCTGATAAGACTAGGGTATGTGCAAGGTCTTAGATGATGCTGTTAAAATGTTGCACTCAGTGTATCAGCAAACTTGGAAAACCCAGCAGTGGCACAGGGCTGGAAATGATTAGTTTTCATTCCAATCCCAAAGAAGGGCAATGCCAAAGAATGTTCAAACTACCATACAATTGCACTTATTTCACATGCTAGCAAAGTAATGTTCAAAATCCTTTAAGCTAGACTTAAATAGTATGTGAACTCAGAAATTCCAGATGCACGAGCTGGATTCAGAAAAGGCAGAGGAACCAGAGATCAAATTGCTGACATTCACTGGATCATGGAGAAGGCAAATGAGCCCAGGAAAACATCTACTTCTTCATTGACTATGCTAAAGCCTTTGACTGTGTGGATTACAGCAAACTGTGGAAAATTCTTAAAGAGATGGAAATACCAGACCACTTTACCTGTCTCCTGAGAAACTTGTATGCAGGTCAAGAAGCAACAGTTAGAAGCAGACATGGAACAACAGACTGGTTCAAAATTGGGAATGGTGTATATTGTCACCCTGCTTATTTAACTTATATACAGAGTACATCATGAGAAATGCTGGGCTGGATGAATCACAAGCTGGAGTCAAGATTCCTGGGAGAAATATCAACAACTTGCGATACTAAACCTTAGATACTAAAGAGCCCCCTGATGAGGGTGAAAGAGAGCGTAAAAAAGCTGTCTTGAAACTCAAGATTCAAAAAACTAAGATCATGGCATTCAGTCCCATTGCTTCATGGCAAATAGATGGGGAAAAAGTGGAAACAGTGACAGATTTTATTTTCCTGGACTCCAAAATCACTGTGGACGGTGATGACTGCAGCCATGACATTAAAAGATGCTTGCTCCTTCGAAGAAAAGTGTGACAAACCTAGACAGCATATTAAAAAGCAGAGATACCACTTTGCTGACAGAAGTCCATATAGTCAAAGCTCTGGTTTTTCCAGTAGTCGTGTATGCTGAAGAATTGATGCTTTTGAACTGTGGTGCTGGACAAGACTTGAGAGTCCCGTGGACAACAAGGATATGAAACCAGTCAATCCTAAAGGAAATCAACACTGAATATTCATTGGAAGGACTGATGCTGAAGCTGAAGCTCCAATACTGTGGCCACCCAATGTGAAGAGCCGGCTCATTGGGAAAGATTGAGGGCAGGAGGAGAAGGGGGAGACAGAGAATGAGATGGTTGGATGGCATCACCGATTCAATAAACATGGATTTGAGCAAACTCCGGAAGATAGTGAAGGACAAGGAAGCCTGGAGTGCTGCAGCCTATGGGGTTGCAAAAAGTTAGACATGACTTAGTGACCGAACAACAACAACAAAGGTCTTAGGTAATCCAGTTTCCTAATCTTGATCAGCTTCCCTGGTCCCTTTAATCTTGTTTCAGGTGGCTTCCTGGCTGTCCTCCTCTGATTAATAACTATTCTGTCCTTTGGCAATCAAGAAGGTCATGGTGACTGGATTCTTGCTTATAGGAAGTGGGGGACAAAAAGGCATCCATGCCCGGGAGACCCACAGGGCCCTGCTTGGCATCAGTTCCCCATTTTCTCTGATACTCCTTGGTCCAGAGGAGCATAGAATCCCTACCATTTTTCTTTAAGTTGCTACACAGGCCATTGCTCTTTTTCACACTTTCAGCAGCACCAGGTCTCCTGCTTTGAAGGGGTGTAAGGGAGTTTCCAGGCAAGGGGGAGACCTGTGGAACACAAATGTATGCATAATGGTTAATAGTTGTCCAGTCTGTTGAACATACTGTTTAATTTTACCTGCTGTGTTAGAAACATTTCTTTTTTTATTCTTAGGAGCTAAGAGTTGTCTCCTGTATCTAATTTCATAATGGCTCCATCCTATCCTGCTTTTAGGGATCACCAGTATACAGAGAGCAATTTGCAAGATCTTGTCTCATTTTAGATGAGTTTTCCACCAAAGCTTGTCAAAAGATTTCTTAATAAGGTCCATAAGCAGGTTTTTGCCATCTCCAATGTTGTTTTTTCAAACATTGTGGTTGGAAAGGCCTCTGTTCAACCTTTATCCAGATGTGACCCTCTCAAATCTTAGCCAAAATCTCGTGGAAGAGGGTGGGGGGAATTATTAGATATAGATCCTTGTAGAATATGATATAGCTCAGAAATTTCAAGTTTGCAACAATACAGGGATAAATGCCTCTGAAATCACATCCACAGTGGTCACCTAGTTTTGCCATATTTATTCCATTTTAGCTTTCAAATGCATTCCCCTCCTCAGTGTTAAAGAAGCTGTCACTGTTAATGAATTTACTGCTTTTCTGCATATGGGAAAATGCAAGAATTTGGGTTCATAAACTCTTCTGAAGACATCTAAGTATCTAAAGGCCTATTCTGCCAGTTCTTCTCAGAGCATAGAGTACCTCATTTCTGATCTCCACTCTGCATTCCTTTCAGGGGGTGTTAAAGGTCAGTGGCTGCCATGACATTGACTTAATCCTTGAAGAGGCAGATGGCAGTTTTCAGTTGACAGAGCCCCTTCAGGGTCATAAATTTGACCATGTTGTGGGGGCATTTCATGACCATTTTGTCCCATGGTGCTGGGAATGCTATTCCCAAGTCTGGTGGAGACTTCACCGATAGACCACTCAGTGTGCTGTTACTGGACTAGGCCATAAAACAGTATCCAAAGTCTCTGGACCACTAACCTCCATGATCCGGGAAAATATTCACTTCTGTTGCTTTTTCCCGTATCTAGAGTTAAGCTGTTACAATCATTGATCTCATATATGTGTGTGCTAAATCACACACACCTTAGTCATATCTGATTCTTTGCAAACCTGTGGACTGTAGCCCACCAGGTTCCTCTGTCCATGGGATTCTCTGGGCAAGAATATTGAAGTGGGTTGTCATGCCCTCTTCTAGGGGACCTTCTCGACCCAGGGATCAAACCTGCTTCTCTTATGTCTCCTGAATTAGCAGATGGGTTCTTTACCATGAGAGCCACCTGGGAAGCCCATATGGAATTATGCATCATTTTATCAGAGGCTCAGTCACATTTGGTAATTTAAGAAACAATTTTGTAAAATGGTTATATATATATATATATATATATATATATAAACAATATAGCTAGCAGATTAGTAAGGTCATAAGCAAGAATTTTAAGTCAAGAACTTCAATTAGATGTAGCCCCATATATCCCAGGTTGTTTGACTTCATCTATTCTGTACCAGCCCTTTTCTTTAAGGGAAATTTTATGTTGGTGTTGTCCATAAGGCACCCACCCCAGTTTCCTCTGTTGCTACGCTGATTATCCTTAACATGACTTCATTGTTTCCAACATAGAGGAGCCTTTAAATTTAAACCACCATAGTTTGGTGTTAACTAAATCCATCCCATAACTGTGAGAGGTTTAATTCCTTGGTTGAAATTCTGCCTGTTGTTCTGAGCTTAAGTAATGAAAATTCTCTGACCCTGGATTAATGGCCGGGTCAGAGGAGGTATTACTAATAGGCCAGGTGAAAGGATCCAGTCTGGTAATAGCAGTAGTGGCCTGTGCATGACTATAATCTTTTTTTTTTAAAATAAATTTCTTAAGAGTCAACCAGTTAAGAGCCTTGGAGTAGAGAAATCTATCTAGGTAACCTGAGAGTACTAGATACAGGTCATTGGCCACAAACCCAACAATTGGATTGATTTTAAAAACTAGCATAGGATCACCCTATCATGGCTGTGATAGAAAGACATTTGATTCACATGCAAACATCCAGGAAGTCAGGAAAACGTTAACAAATGATTGTACGAGTCAGATTGAAGATCTTAGGAAAGCTGTCTACTTCTGATGTTGTCTTCTTCTCACCCTGGTGTGAGTGTAGTTTCTCCTCTGAGCATTATTTTAAGGGTGATTTTGAGGTCAGCGGTCCTCTCTTTAGGCCAGTCCATTGCAGGGGCCTTTTGTGAGTGGAAATTAATCCAGAAGTCCTTTCCCTTCAGATTCATTGTGCATGAGCTAGTTAAGAGTACTTAGTAAGGGTCCTTCCATCCAAGTTGGAGATTATCCTTTAAATTATGTCTTTTTCAGTATCCATAATCCCCTGGTTGTAGGTTGTGGGGCATCTGATGCTCATCCAAAGATAGATTACTGAGGTAAGCTTCAGATACAAACTTAAGAGTATCCTTTAATAATTCAATTAAACTTTACATTAGTATAACGTAACAGCAAGAAACTGTCTGGGAGGTGAGTCTTATAGACCTCTGTTAACAAACTGCAAT